TTTATTACCTCACTTGTGCATACCACTTAAAGGAAAAAAACCTGACTTTAGAAGAGCTAATTAAAAAAACCTTTTTACCATGTTTCTAAGAAAGGAGGTTATAATGCTTCAAGAAAACCTCCTTCTTAAGAAAGGCTGAGCCATCTTGCATTACTGAGTTATAAAGGGGATGAATAACAAGAGAATAATAAAAAGTCACTGATCAGGTAAATTGTAGAACCCACTTTGCCCTCTGTCAGAGAAAGGAGGCACTTGATCAATTCAAGAGCCAGGTATTTCACAGTGATGAAAGAAAATGTCTTTGCCACTACTTATTACTGAGTCTAAAAGTTTGATGGGATGCCAAAAAAAGTAGATTTATTAGAACTCCCACAAATTCATTAACCTGCATTTTAAATAAGAATAATTACAAAACCTATGGGTTTTAAAAGTACTGTTAACCAACTCAGAATCAGTTAAGTTGGTATTTCCATCAAAATCAGACATTAAAAAAAAATTTCTCAAATGTTTGCAACTTCCTCTTAAAGCATCTGGTTGAAGCCCGCATCAGACACAGGAGATCAAACTACTCCCATCCAGAATGCCAACTCCTCCAGTACCCAGAACAAAATGATAAAGAAACAAAAAGAGACAGTTGTCTCAGCCCTGAGAAAAGATGTCCTCAAACCCCAGAAAATCTTTTTTAATGATGTCTGTCAAGTTACAGTACTTGCCTCTATCTCAAGTGAGAAATAATCCAAGTCAAATCTGGAAAGCAGAAGGAGAAGACAAAACAGTAGCAAGTGTAGGATGTGTGACAAAACAGCAGCTACTCAAAATTTAATGTTAGCATCTGGATGACTGTTAATATGCCAGTATCCAAATTCTGAATCCAAACTCAGAACCAGAGTTCTGAGAAAGAACAGTAAGACAGAAAATACTTAGAATAATAAAAACTATATGGCACCTGGGCTGCCATGTCCTTTGATGAGGCATTGCTGCAGCCACAGGAACACCTGAAGTAAAGCAATCAGTGACACCACTGTAGAAGAGAGGTCAAAGAAGAGACACTAAACAGATGAAAATCAGGCAGTGACTGAGAATAAAATGGTTTCCGAGAAAGATTGTAAATGAAAGGCCTTTTCTTTCTAAAAATCTTTAAAAAAAATACTGACAAAACAAACTCTTTCCGTGATAAAGCGGAAACACATAGTTTAACATGACAGAAAAGATCCATTTGGGGCGGGAAAACCAAACCAAAAACCAACAAAAAAAAAAAAAAAAAAAAAAAAAAAAAAAAAAAAAAAAAAAAAAAAAAAAAAAAAAAAAAAAAAAAAAAAAAAAAAAAAACCATAAAAACACACACAAAATATTATTTATTTAGGAACTATATTTTCTGTAACAGTTTTTTGAATCCTTGCTTGATCTCCCTGCAGTTATTTCTATGGAGATCACTAATCACTTAAAATATAGAGAAAAGTTAACAGTGTGTTTACTTCATATTTCATAAAATGACTTTTATATAAAACTTGTATTTTTAATACTTTGCATAGCACAAAGGATTTAAATTTTTTTTTATTTGCTCCAAACACCATTTTCACAGCTATGCTATTTATCATATGGCATAAAAGACATCTTCCCTGTGAAGAAAACATAAAATCTGCAGTCTATCACTACAATATATTATCATTAAATGCTGCAAAGAAAGATAAGAATGCGAAGCCAAATCATCCCCATAGAGTTTATTTATATGTAACACTGAAGGAACCAACTGCAAGACAGTAAAATAGTATGCAACATGCCCCATCTACTGGCAGAATGGAGCAGCTGGATAAAGTTTTACTATACAGTATCTCAGCAATTAAAGAGATGCTGATGCTCTCTGGGCTAATGTGTGTCTAAACCACTTAAATGAGCAGACACATCGAACTGTGTATTAGTGATGGTTTCCTTTTCCATACAAAGATAAAGCAGGACCCATCTCATCAGTGCACAGTGACAAGAGGTAACGGGCACAGATCAAAATACAAGACATTCAAAATTAAGGAAAAGAAGTCATTGTGCGAGTTGCCAAGCAGTACAAGAGGTTCCCCAGGCATATCACAGAGTCTCCTTTCTTGGAGATGTTCAAAATGCAATTACACAAAGCCCTGAGCAACCAGCTCTGAGGGGAGTCAGACCAGATGATCTTCAGAGGTTCCTTACAGCCACAGCAATTTTGTGATCCTATGGTCATAAAACCACTTATAATCAGACTTTTGACCTACGTCCCGCTCTAAGTTCCCACCAGAACACTTGTACTTTTCTCAAAATACACTGTTGATATGGAAATATTTTAAATTATCTGTGGTAGAACTTGCCCAAATAGATTTGCAGCAACTTCTAGCAATGCAATACATTTTAAACTCATCTATACTGTAATAAACAATCCACCACAGCTGTATCTTCAGTGAGGGAAATGGAAGTTGCAAATGAAATCCAACTCGGGAACATGAGGTATCACCATGCCTTCAAACAGAACAACTGTTCTCTGCCGCATTTCTGACAGCCCACCTTGGTCTAATCGAATCAATAAAATATCTAAAATATATTAGAAAAATCGTCACAAAATATTGGTAATAAAAAACCTCAAGTTTTATACAAAATACATAACCTCAGAAAACAAACCAACACATCCCAACTCATTCTCTATTGCACTAGCCCTGGACAGGGCTTTAAATTTGGCAAGGCCATTGCACTGTCTGCAGTTCACTCTATTTTTAGAGAAGATACTTGACAACAACTTCTTTTAGAGTTCTCAAGTTTTTCATCTGAATTAAGCTTTTTGCAGCTGTTCTGTAAAATACTGTAAAACAAAAGCTTCTAAAAACTAACAACTTATCAGGAAAAAAATGTTACAATTGATGAATTTTTTCTTCAAGATTTCTATGAGGAAAAAAATTAATTCAAGTTCAAACAGCAGAAAAAATGAAAGATTTTCAGAATTATTAACAGAAAAGCACAGGGTTTTTCCTGTGTATTTAAAATACACAAATAATTTTTCCTTGTTACTCTGCTTGTGCAATACATTATGGTCTTCGAAAAAAAATAAATCTTAGTTCTTGACCATAAAAAAGTTTCCTCTCTACCTCTAAAATCATGTCTGTTCAGAAATCCCTTCTCTAAACTAGTTTCTTCCATTTATACAATCACAATCCACAATATCATTTCCTGTTATTTGAGCTCCCTACAATCTGCTCAGTTCTGCTCTCACCCTTCTCTAGCTCCGTCCTCCAAGCACCCTTTAAGGCCGTTTCTCTTCCTAATTTCCAGTTGCTACTGAACTGACCACACCAGTCTTTAAGTGTGCCCATGTACTACTCGAATCCCTTCTGCAGACTTCTGATTGCTCACCAATTCCTGGTTCTCTTTCTTGATTACCAGATGCATCACATCCCTCCTGGATGAGTCACCTTTCCCAGACTCAGCCTTAAAAGGGAGATTTTCATTTGATCACAGTCCCAAACACCACTAAGCCTCAAATTTTCTTGCCTTCCAAGCTAAATCACCAAGATACTAACAGGATCAGTGATTTAGCAGTAACTTTTTTGTTTGCAGAGACACTGGCAGTTTCCTACAGTGGATGGCTTGAGTTTTCAAACAACTGCCACTGCCTCCACAACAGGGAAGAGAGCGAGGAATGAAGCTTGCTTTGGATGCAGTCACCAGCAACGGCTGCTCCCTCTCTTCCCAAGGGATGTCCAGTTTGGAGGTCTATAAACCCCACCATCTGCTGCACAGCCAGGAAAATGCTCTGTAGATCAGCCAGAGTGAGAATCTCCATCTTGGATTTCATAGGAAATTAAAAAAAAAAAAAAAAAAAAAATTGGGAATCCCTTCCCTCCACTTCTGTTTTTGCATGAGCTGCCAAATGAATAAAGAACAGCTTGGATCCACATCATCAATTTATTATATAACAATTTATTGAAGCCATAATTCTGTACGATTGACTTCAGTTCCTTTACTGAAAGAAATTACAGCTTCAGGAAATAAAACCTAAAACCATACAACTCTAATTAATTAAACCATTTGACATCAACACTATCATTCATATATAAACAATGTTCATCTCTGGGCAGTTATCACCATGCCTAGAAAACTATTTCTCATCAAGGAAAAGCACCATGAAGGAGAGACCAACTAAAGATTTATCTGCTTCAATCTATCAGTTTTCCTACTAAGCACTAATTGATAATGCTACTAATAATATATTAAAAATGGACCCCACATCTTCAGCAGGAACGTCACGCACAACTATCAGTACATACCTCATACTCACTTTCTCTTACAGTCTTTATTTTCCTTATTAAGGAAATAGCTGTAGGTATTTACCTGTTCTAATCAACTTACCTCTGGAAAGTGATTAGCAGTGCCTCTGATTATCTACAGTTACACCTCACAATCCTAGAGATTTTGATCATTTACTTGGATTAATCCAACAGGCTCCAGTGAGCGTATCTTAACATCCTCCAGTAATGCTTACTAACTACTGAAAACCATTTCCATAAAGGAAAATAGTTAAATTTGTAATCTCTTTTCTAGCTTTCAGCATGATACTGAATGTATTGAAGTAGAAAGTGAGTATAGTGCATGTGAGAGAGCATTAAGCAGTATGTAGGTACGTACCTGTGCATACACAGAGGGTAAAAAAAACCTGAGCACTCATTAAACCAGTAAAATTGATCTTCTCATTGGATGAGTTATCTTACACTGAAAATAGTATTTTACAAACAAAAATGCAAAATACCCTCATAATTGCATTAGAAAAACAGTTATTCTTCATCACAAAAACAGAAATCCTGCTTCTTTACAACTTCTTGGGCAGAGATTTCACGTAGTCAGAAAAGGAGTACGTGTTCCACATGTTTTATGTGTAAAATTACTTCTGAAAATAAATCAGTAAGCAGTAGCAGAGACATATTTGAAAAGTCTGCCCTCGGAAGAACCTCTAATTTTGCACAATTATCCCCCAAAGTACTCACATGCACATTTAGTCGCAGAGTTGGGCCACACCGCCATCGTAGGTTTTTGTTTGTTCCGAAAAGCCTCCTCAACTCGAGCTTCTGTTTTCCGTACAGTGGAACCATGAGGATTTATCTGTTCTGCTGGTACTGATAAGCCTGCATGCAAAAGATAACCATACCTATTTAAATAAAGCAAGCTGCATAAAACTACTGAATTTAGGAAGAAATCTGGAATACTATACTGCAGTAGCAACACATCAATTAACATTTAGCTGGACATCCAAAGCAAAGATTAGAATCAAGAATATTTGGTTTCTACTCTCAAAATGACTTACTGGTTACATGGTCTTAAAACTGGCAGCTCTCATAGATTAGAAAAATGTGACTTTCTCACACTTGGCTCCCTAAAGATTGCACTCCTCTATCCATATTTCCTCTACAAAGCAAATTCTTACTGACCCTTTCAATTTTTCCTGATTTTAAACAGATGATTTAAAACAAATGGTAAGTCATAATGGCATTTTCTGCCACATCAAAAAGAGTATCTGAATAAGAACCTTGTATTGTCACTGTGATCTATGTCACATAAAATGGATCCATTTCAGAGTCAGCAGCTCTTAGATTAAGAAAATGCAATTCTGCTTTTAACAAAAACTATGGTTTGCTTTCTGTAAGGTGGTTCCTCTCATTGCTTCTACTGTTTCATAGGGTTTTTATTTGAATTCTAAAAAGGCAAACTTTCATCTTGGTTTAAGCACATTTTAAAGACATCAAGGAATTTCTGAAGTTTCATATTTGTGAACTAGAATTTCCTATCCAACCACTAAAATGTCCTATCATGTCTCCAATAGAAACCAGAACCAAGTGATCATGAGTTGACATCCATCAAAATTGAAGGGTGCAGAAATTAAAAGATTCACAAAGACACTCTCACCCCACAGTTAATAATTACACAGTAAATTTTTAGGTACCATTACAAATACTTTAAATTGCATAACGTATTTCATTACTCAAAACATCCAGCACTTCTACCTTTTTGTTTGCTGGTCTCAACAAGAAGTTGCAAATTTCAATAATCTAGGATATATAGTTCTTATTTTACCAACTTAAAACTTGCTATCCTTATACCTAGTATCCTATCCTTATATCCAGCATCTTTCAACAAAAGCATCCCATTTCAGTCATACAGGATCAAGAAATTCTAGTTTAACTTCTAGATACTAATTTTATTGTACAGTTTATCTTTTTGTTACACTGCTGTGCTTCTGAGACTGGTCACCAGTCACAGTACTAAGTAAAAATGGCAGACTTGTCAAAAAAAAACCCACAAAACAAAACAAAAAAACCAAAAAACCCAGTCCAACAAAATCAGAAAAGCTGTACAAAAAGAAAGCAATGTAGAAAATACCTTCCATTTTACAACTGTGTAAGACTGCTAAATAACTTCCCAAAAGAACTGTGAAGAAAATAGATATGGAGCTTTTAGTCTTTTTCATCCCTTGCTCAAACTACTCTGAAACAGGGTACACAGCAAAGTCTAGACCAGCAGATGCACTGTGATTGTGCTGATCTGCTCTCTTGCTAAGTGTATTCTATAGAGCAAAATGGGATAAAGGCAAAGCTGATCATCCATTACAATGACCACTGCCAAGACTACGTTCCTGAAGCGCTGAGATCCTGATGATCTGCACCACCATAATCTTTGACCCAATCCCTGATCCAGGAACAGGACAATCTCTTGTTGTTACCTCACAGCATGAGGCTTCCTCAGACCTCAAGATCTTGGTATCTTCTCCTTCCTTCATAACCAGTTAATCTAACACAGCTTCTTTCAAGCATTCCAAGTATTGCATCCCTGCTAACTCAGTGATCTTAGCCTGCCACATTCTACAGCTGGAAACCACCACAGTGTGGTCCAGAAGCACAAGCATCTTTGAAATGTCACGGTGACACTGTAATGACTTCCATGCCAATGTACTGAATCCACTCTGAAACCTGCCCATTGCTGTCTGTGACCTGTTGTCCTTCACAAACAACTGGCACTGCTTGTCACCTACCCGTACCTGAAGGTCCACCAAACCAGCATCTCACACCAAAAGTACCTGCTTTTTCCACTGCATGATGCCATCAGCCTCAATTATGACTGAAGAAACCCCTCTTCTTTCAACAGGGTTTTGACCCCAAAAATATATATATTACTTGGCCACTGCCACAGAAAGAAGGGCAGCATTCCGAAGGAACTACAAGCCATAGAGTCACGTTCTAACAAAGAGCTCCTACAAACATTTACTTTAACCTCGGAAGCAATAACCTTTAACACTCACAGAGACTCTGATAATTAACTAAGCACAGCTCCCAGCATGACAGTAGGGCCAGAATTGTGAATATTCTTATACTTCTAATAGAAAAGTACAGAGGAGAAATGAAGGCATTGTATTAGTTCTGTTTTACAAACACAGTGAATCACAATTGGTTCACTTATCCACATTCAAGACACACATTGGAGGCTTGCACAAAACTAGACAAAAACATGCATGACTGAATGGGAAAATAAAGGAACTGTATCCATTTTAACCTGAAGAAAAAGCCTACAGATATCTGCATAGTTCAAAGAAATTTATTAATAAAGTATCTTCAATCTACTGACAGAAGTATTTCAAGAACCAGCAGTTACAAGTTAAGACCAGCCAATTCAACCTAGAAATCAAATAATGCAGCTTTTTTTTTTTTTGCCAAAGCAGGAAACAACTTGCCAAACTGAAGCTGGAATTATTGAAATCAATAATCCCTAACTCAGCACAAAATTTCATTCTAATGTTATAGTTCAGTGATTTTCAACCTTTTTCAACTTTCAGAACTTAAAAAATTTTCCGTGGAGGTAGAATCTTTTATCTAAACACAGCACTGTTCCCTGGGAACACGTCTGAGAATACTGGGAATCTGTCTGGACTTTTGATTACTTTCTCTGGTCACTTTAGAAGCCATACACCGACTTGGAGGTCTATGGACTAGAAGTTGAAAACAACTGCAGTAATTTAGTAGGAGGCTATATTTCCTAATTTTGGGCTATTATATTTTCAAACTCACACTCCCTTCAATGTGGATGTAATAGTTGTTTCTTAATCCAAAACAATCAATATATTATCACCCAAAAATGCACTTCTGAACATGCCAGGGTGAATTGAAAATCCAGTGCTTTAAATGCCCTTCTCCATTATCGTAATTATTATACTGCATTGCATGGCACTTTCAGAACAGAGCTCTGATTCCACCACATCTTCAGCTGGTACAGCAGTCCTAACATTTCTGTTCACCAGGCTCTACAGTACCATCTTTAACAGCAGGCAGTGAAACCTTCTTTTGGAAAGGACAGTGCTTTAATCAGACCAGCTCATACATTAGGAAAAAGTAGACAAGTTTCAAGCTCAGTCATCCTTTAACGTGCACCATCCAAATCTGACATGCATTCTGTATTTCATCTTAAATTTAGTTTTTATATGGACATTTGTATATTCTCTTTTCTATCCCATATATCTACAACAGCTTTTCTCATTGTCCTTGATGTCCCTTGGCCATGTTTAGTTCTATCAGGGCTTTAGCTTTCCAAACCTGATCTCTGGCTGCACAGACAGTTTCTCTGTGTTCCTCCCAGGCTGCCTTTCCCTGCTTCCGTTCTCTGTAGGTCTCCCTTCTGTGTTTAAGTTTGTCCAGGATCTACTGTTCATCCATGCAGGCCTCCTAATGTGCTTGCCTAACTTCCTCTTTGTTGGGACACATCACTCCCGACCTTGGAGGTGATCCTTGAATATTAACCAGTTTTCTGGGCTTTATCTTACGGGACTCTATAAAGCAAATGCCAGAAGTAGCTGAAGTCTGCTCTCCTGAAAGCCAGGGTAGTGATCCTTGCTGTGCACCCTCCTCACTGCCCTAAGGATCTCAAACCCCACTGCTCCATGGTCACTGCAGACCCAGCTGCTCCTTAGCTGCACATTCCCCACCAGTCCCTCCTTGTTGGTGAGAAGAAGGCCCGGACAGCACCTTTCCTTGCTGGCTCTGCTGTCACTTGGAGAAGGGAGTTATCCTTAACACATTCAGGAACCTCCTGGATAACTTATGCCCTGCAGCGTTGCCAACATGTTGAAGTCCCCCACAGGGTCCAGGGCTTGTGGATGTGAGGCCATTCCTGTCTGTCTACAGGGGGACTCCACAGGTAGTTGTGTGACAAGAAATGAAGTTAAACATACCTCTTTTTCTTCTTGCTTCCTTGATTTCTTCACACATCTTATTAAATTCTGGATCCAGTTCAGCAGCAATGATGGCATGAGCAGTGTCCTTCAAAGTACATGCTCTATGTCTAATTATTTTATCTAGAAAACAGGACAGCACACTTGTTTTATCACAATTATGTGAATTCTTTACCATTTCTATGTTGTTCTGTGTTGCCTATTACAGCACTGACACAGACAGAAGTAGCACAGTGTAACGGAGAGTCCCAGAAGTAACAAGAGCCTTGTCCAGGAATTAATTTACTTGCTGGGGTCTAGGAACATTCATTCAGTTATACTGCCTGCAAAATCACACCAGACATCATCTGCATCTGTAAGGTAGATCTGGCTTGCTTATGTTCCTCCCCTGCTGGTTTTTTCCTTTAACTCGAAATTATTGCTTAATTATTATTTAGCAATTGCTAGAAAATTCAAAATTGAGCTAAAACAGATTACTTTATTCCTTATTTTAAAGACATATTTCTCACTTTAATCCATTAAGAAAAACTGGCAAGAAACAAGCCTTGAGGGTGCCACATTTTCAAGCCTATTTGAGGAACAGGACAAATGGTCCATGCTGGAAGCATAAATGCAACTCACGAAAAAACAGACCAGTTTCCATACCTTTGAAACACACAAAAGAAATTATTCCACTGTTGACATTTGAAAAGTAATTGTAACTTAATAAGTAAGCCCATATGTGGAGAAAATTGACATCTAGAATGTTGCTTTTCAATGAAACCTACAACAGTCATTGTTTGCCTTTAGTACAAACATATTTAATTTGTCAATTCATCCACACTGGATTACTTTTTCCAGCTGATGGAGGCACTTCAAGAGCAAGCATCATTAACGTCTAAACCATATTATACAACCATCAGATTTAACGTTTTAATAATCTTTAAGGACAAAATTAAGAATATCAGTGAACATTTATTAAGCAAGGTTTGTAATTCTAGAAACAGCAAATTTTACAGCTGGAAAAAAAGCTGAGTGAAAAAGGCTATTAAGTATCCAGCTCAAAACAGCTCAACATGTTTTCTGGGGAAAAATACATTCACGTAAATCCACTAGAAGTTAGAAGTTTTTACTCATGTATTTCTGAAGCATTGTGTTTTATTATTACAAAAAAATATACTGTATTCTTCGCAGATGTAATTTTGAGATATTAGACTTCAAAATTTTGGTCACATAACAAAGGTTAAGATGCCCTTGCAAATAGGAAAAGAGGAGAGAGAAAAAAATAACAATTCAAATCAGGATGTCTGAATGAGCCACTACTTTCCTCTAATCCTGTGATGAGCAAGACTTTCCTACAGACAGTGCTTCAAGAGGCAGATACTACTATGTCCAACATTAAATAGTTATGTTTCCATGCCTTTAAGAACATTTCCAAGTCAAACAATGGAGGGAAAAAAACCCTACCCCATTTCACTACAGAACCCATCTGAAATTTTATAGCAAAGTACCAGCAAAAAAAAAACCCCAAAGAAGCCACTTTCGGAAATTCATATTGCACATAAAACCAGTCAGCCTGGTACTCCCACTGCTCTTCCAGCTTAACAACAGGACATGTCTGATTCTTCTGCAAATTCAAGCATGAAGCAGAGGGAAGTTTGCATGCCCAGCTCCAATGAACGTGAACATTTACAGGTTAATACTCAGTTCATGCATGCATCTGAATGCACGGAATGCTTCCTCAGAACAGTCACGGTGTGCTGTTTCAGCAGTGTGTTCACACAACAGCTCAAGAAATCCTGCATGCCAGAAGAGCAATGCATCATACTGTTGTTAACAGCAGAGGACAGAACTATTTTTCATTACCTCCAATCCAAAACTGAACCTAGAAAGAGCCAGATCAATTTCTCCCAGCTCAGTTCTGACAGCAAGGAAAATCAAAATATCCCTAAACAGGTGCTCTTCAGATACATTCAGGATCCCAAGTGCCCACCAAGGGCTTTCATTAATTCACATCAATCACACCTTAGAAGTCCTCAGAACTGTGTTATCAAGAACACAAAAAACCTTTTGCTGTATATTATCAATGGATTTTCTTAGTTGTAAAACAAAATGCATCATAAACTGAAGAAATAGTTGATCACCTACAGATATGAATCAGCATTGGGTTCAAAAGGCAATGTGAAACAAGTCTAAGTGTTTGACCAGACTACACTGCATCTAGTTCACACAAGACACTTGCAAACGCCTCATAAAATCAAAACTTTGAGAAGAAAAATACAGAAAATGGTAAAACAATTTCACAAGATTTCATGAAAAACTTTTTAACACATCAGACTAGACTTGTAGATGGACCCCGACCTCCAAATATCTCACATATTAAATACAGTTACATTAAAACAGTGGGGCTTGTTGATGTTGTTTTCTTGATGACACTTGAAGTTGCCAGCTGAAAGGCTTTCTTTTGGCAATGTGCACTGTAAGGCAGCCCTAGCAAAGAGCACACGAGATGTTCTCGCCTTAGTTTGAAGCGTAAGCAGCTTTTACATGCATTTCAGTCTACAAATTCCATTTTAATTGAAAGTATCCCATCACACTTTGTCAAGACAATACTGTCTAATCTCTCCTAATCAGCTGCAACTGACTTCCTTGCCTGGTGATTTATCCTGTTTTATTTCTATCCCCAAATACATAGACTTTAATTTCTGTGTATGAATTTCACGTTCTAAGCCAATATGGAAATACAGCAGGCCAGGCCACTGCCAGATTGTGTGCAGGATTCTCTGCAGAGCTCTCCAAATTACGGTGGGGTTTTGTTGCTTACACAAAGTCTATTCACTGAAAAGGAGCTATCAAATTTGAAAAGGAACTACAAAACCTAATTTATTAGAAAACAACTCGGAATGCTGTAGTTCTCCTGCTCTTGTAATGTCCCCCAGTGCACTGTATGCCTCAGAATGCTAAAAGCACAGACTCTTAAGACTTGCTTATCCTAATTATCACACAGCATGCAGTTTCTTTAAATGCCTGAATAGCAACCAAATACAGGATTAAATACTGAGCTTTCAGATTTAGGCAGGCCAAAACAAAGCAGGTTCTTACCTCCAGGGTCTTTGTCTGGATTGTACTCCAATGCATTACTGCAGATCAGGTCAATGTCTGTTAGAAAATCCTTGGCTGTTAAATAGTTGTGTTTATCAATTTTGGTTATTACTGTTGATAGGTCCATTGGCTCTTTGATAACTTCAAGGTAATCTGAAACCTACAAACAAACAGCATACAGAAATGACACAGGACCATATGCATTCCACTTGAACACTGAAAATCTCACATCTTTTATCCTTGGATTCATTCCCCATGCATAGCTTGAGGACATTAACCAGACATTTTGATTGTTAGACAAATTTATGTTGAAAAGAGAAGTTGTATCAGACTAAAAATATAGGATTTCCAAAGCTACTTTTTCTTCAGTATGTCACTGATTTATTTCTCAAAATTAATTTAACAGTATGTTGAGAAAACACATTTTAATGTAAATTTCTTTTTTATTTTAGACTGATTTATTTATAGTTTTTTATAGTTTTATAACACTGTCTTGGACTAAAAGGGCAGAAATCATCACCCTTGATCAACTCGAAACACTAAGAAAAATTAGGGAAGCTCTTGTTTGTTCACCTTGTAGGTGAAGTTCTCAATTAACTGAACAGTCAAATTATCAGCTTTTAAATATCTTCTATTAAATGCCTTCTTCAATCACTCATTTAACAAAGAAAAGTCAGGTTTTACTGATTGCAGACATTAGACTGACTGTACAGAAGGACAACGTAAAGAAAAAGCCTTGTGTCACAGTTACGATGAGCTTAGATCGTAACTGGAGATTCAGCAACCACCAGGGTACACTAAAAAGTGGTTAACATAATTAATGGTACCAGATGGGTCTCAAGCTTGATAGTCAAATGCATCAGCACAGCTGCTGTAACAAAGTTCACAAAAAAATCCCTACGAATTTCTTATTTATTTCAAGGAAAAAAAACCCTACACTTGAATGTTTCAGTTTGATTAATTAAAAACACTGGCAGTCTCTGAAACAGTATTGCATTTTTTCTTTTGAAAATCACCCACATATGATGGGCACTGCCAAAGCCCTGAAGACTTAAACAGATATTCCTGTCAAGCCATAACGGCTCCTAAGAATTTATTTTTTAATATAGTGCTTGTAGACGTACATTACAACATAAACTAACATTATTGCATTACTGTAGTGGACAGCAATATGTCACCTAATTCCTTAAATACAGGCACTGAAATTTATTATGAAAAATTAAAATGGCAAAAATTCTCTTTTTGTCTCCCTGCATGGAAACATGACGGTAACTGGTTCAGGGATTGCAAAGCCAAGACACAGATTTCCTTTTCTTTTAGCATCAGAAATTCTTCACTGGAAGCTGTAAATATTACTGCTGAATTAGACAGGAAAATCCTTGACTTATCACACAGCAGCATTCTCTGCAGTGCAAGCAGCAGTGGAACAAACTTAACACGTTTCCTAAGGAAGTCAAGTAGCCAGGCTGTTGTACAAAAGGAAAGGCTGGTCCTGTTCTTCAATGCACCAGGTGAGACGTAGAGGATTACATTTGATTTCTAGTGCTGTGATATATTAGCAGGGTTTCTGGCAAGGGTTTAAATAACAAATTCACATTTCGATTCTCTCCATCTACAAAACAAGGACACTTACTGGTTCTTTCTTTACGTGCTCTTATTCATGTAAGTTTATACCACAAATTCTCTGGGGAAAGAAAATACCTCTTTCCTACAACAATGGACCTCCCAAACAGTTCCATAAGAAAAATCAAACCAAGTTACTGCTCAGACCATGCTCACAACGTAAGTTGCCACATAAAACAGCTTTTGCCAGTCTTTGAAAAGCAGTCAGCTACCAAACACTATGGAAAGGTCAAATTAAGAGAGGACTGCATGGGCCCATAAAAGATACCTGTTCCAACCTGCAAGGAATTTACACTCCAAATCTGCCTTTTACAGTGCTGCATTTCTCATGTCCCATATTCATCTCTTCCAAAAGAGAAGTTTCTCTCTTTAGAAGCAATTAGGGAATATTTTTTTCAGTTAGCAAGCCTGTGCAAAGCTTGCAGTGGGTCAGCATCTGATCTCAAAGTCAGACAAACACAATCCTATTCATACAGCAGCACCTGAAAATAGATTTGCAGATCGAACTGTCTCATCAGTTAGGTGTGCACACTCCATAATCGACCAGTTAATGCCTTATAATGTGCTACCACCTGTGATTAATGGCAGCCACAGGCATTACTGCTGAAATTATTCAACAATACTATTAATGCTGAATACATTACAGAACACAGATCACTTTCCCAATATTATCATGTCTGTGATTACAATGCTGTAAAAGCTTTTATTAAAGAATTATATCTATGGTCTCAAATATTTCAGGAGCACTGGTAGGGATAGGAATGTTGGCATTTTAAAATGCTGGTTTCAGTTATAAAACTGACAGGAATGCACAAGGTTTTTCAATAGGTCACTGGCAAGAGAACATACTCCAAATCCTTGCATCACAATGATGAGGCTGTGACTATCTCACCAGCTAAAGAAATCAACATTTTCGATTGGAAAGATCACGGGTCAAACATCTATTTTTCTTTCTAACTTAAACGTTCCCTTTTTTTAATTTATATTCTTTTTCTAATAGCTTCAACTTCATTGTTTGCACATTACTGAAACAAGACCTCTTCAATATCCACCGGTTTGCTGAAGATGTTAAAGCGCTTGTCTGTGGCCAGCCTCTTGGTCACATCCCTGAGGAACAACCGCAGCTCTCGCAACGTGTTCTCCTCCTGGTCCTCCATCCGCTGCTTCTCTGCCTCCGACAGCTCCCGGGCAGGACACGGCAGTGCAAGAGGAAGGACTTCCAGAGCACGAAGAGCTAGGGAAAAAAACAAGAAGTCAGACAATGGAAATATTAACAACACAGTGGCTCTTGGGATTATGCCACTTCAAATTCCACCATCTATATTTAATCTGCCTCATGGATCCAACTATCACTGCATCCTTAACCCCACAGCTCTCCACCTTCCAAAACTGTTAACTGTAACTGTGAAATTTATTCCGGGCACTGATTAATACTGCCACATGTTAATTACACTGTCAATTACCCACACCTTTTTAAAAGGGAAAGCAACACAAAATAAAACATTCAGATCCCATTATAATTGTTTTTACTGTAACTTAGTTTACCAGCCTGTTTCCTTCTTGGTGGGGGCATTGCTGCCTCATCAAGAATTAAGCCTTTGAAAAATCTCAATCTGTCTTCTTCACTTGGTCTTTGAATATAAAAAACCTCTTCATACTGGATTCTGAAAATACATTTCACCTAGAAAAAAAAAAAAAAATTGGAAAATTGAACCCCCACTCAAACATACATGATCAATGACCATATTAAAACACTAGTCACAAGCTTTCCAAAATCAGCCACAGGCCAGAAGACAGTAAACTCTACCTACAGCTGTGTTTACAGTAAAGGTAAAACAACACTTGTAATTCTCACTGAATAGTAACTAAACCTGCAGTATTCCACAATCCTAACAATGGTCACCTCTGCCATGAAAGGCAGAGAAAGGGTAGGAGGGAAGAAAAAGAGTCAAAAAAAATGTTGAGGAAAAAAAAAAAAAAGGAACTTTCCTCCCTCATCCTGAGCCTCAGAAGATGTACACTGAAGGTCAGGTGTTTAGATTAATCTGCATTTAATTATAATGGAGTAATTTACCAAAATAAACAACTGACAAAATGAAGAATTTTGCCTTCTCAGTAGAGTAGCGTGGGGCTTATGAAAAATCAGTAATATGGACATGCATCCCTCATTAAGGAAACCTGTAAACGGTCGATTAATACTACATTTTCAGTTTGACATATTTTAAATTAAGTTAGAAAACCATTACAAAACAAAGTGGGTTTATATGATCAAAACATTCTGAAGAGCACAGAACTCCCTAACAATGCCTCCTTCCTCAATAAACTTACCTCTTCAGGCAATTCACTAAACATGGACTCAGAGGTAGACAGTAGAAATATAGGGGAGAAAGATGGTATATCTTGCAGCAGAGTTAGGAAAGTAGCTCTCACAGTTTCACTGACAGCTTCCCACCAATCACCAATATGAGGCATGTAAACTATACTTGGTACTGTTCTTCGAGCTTCACGAAAGATCTAATTAAAAGAAACAGTGATATTTAAACTAAGGAACTAATTGTTAGTATCAATTGTGAGTAATAAAACTTTTGTGGATTAGGAAGTGATTCACATTTGTGGTATTTTATAGACAAATGTTCCAGCAGAATAAAATTATCTAATGCTGAAGATTTTCTAAACAAGCGCTTGTGACTCTTGGCTGTAGCATTCAATTATCTTACGTCAATGTGCCAGGGAGCACAGAGCAACTGCTTGTCATACAGGTTTTAACAACTTGCTATAACTGAACAGTCAAGATGAAGATTCAACTGTTTTGAAATCCATGCAAAATCCACTGCCAACTGTTTTGAAGACTGAAACATTTAAAGCTAAGCAAGTGAACCTTTCTAGAGCCACAGCACACCAATTCAAACACAAGTGAATAAAATGAACATCAGGCACCAAACACCAAGACTAAGATTACTTGGTATTAGGTATGTGATGAGGGGGCAGGTTAAAAATGTAATTACTCTCACTAGTCACTTCAGAGATTTCCATCACCCTCTAGAGACCTCTTTATTTTAAACATGAAAATAGAAGGAGTCTATGAAAATCTGGATTTGAGGTTACATTCCAGCTGGCTGACTTTACATTGGTTCAACTAATCTTTTCCAGAATTATATAATTGACTCATTACAAAAGAATCTGAAATGTCACCTGTGCACATGACTCTTCAGGTGTTTTGGCACTGACTGAATAAAGAGCTGGCAGGTCTAGCCTGTGTACAGAGAATTTTTCCAGAGTGTGCAATAGTGCTGGAGCAAGGTGCGAAGTCTGACCCGAACCTCTTTCTCCAGAGAGCAGTAATCTCGGTCTGTAAGAGGTTGGCTGGTGATAAGCTGACCTGCAACAGAGTAACAATTACAAGTTAATTAACATGCCAATGTTATCAACTGATGGATACATATAATAAGATTATTTTAAAATCCAGAAGACTTCCAGTATTGGGTAACAGCTTCCTAAAACAGCCTATAAAGATTCAACTAACTTAACTATCCCTCAACACTACTTCAAGTCACAAGAACTCAGGTTTTGTCTTACCTTTGGTTTCACAACCATTTAATTCAAACTCATCTGTGCAAAGTTATGCATACTATTAAATTCATGACAATTTTCATTATAACTAATTTATTTAAAACTAATTCCTAGATCGTATAAAAAGACTTAATGGACTTACAGTAAAGACAGCAATTTAATCGTGTCTAGTTCAGTCCTAACTACTAAAGTATCTCTTCGGTAGCCTCAGGAATCCCAGGTCAATCCTTTCATCCCTTAAGTGCTGCCCAAGATTTCCAAGAAGCACTGAACATTTCAACAGTTTGTTTATTTAAGAAACAGGATTTGAAGTAGGATTGAATAAAATCACTATTCATCTTGTATTCTAGCATATTCATACATTTCTATTCAGTAGATTTCCAGACAGAAGGAAGATTGTAAAGGAAAAACTCTAAAGATAAACTTTTTGCTTGTTTTTGTTGTTGAGAAGAAATTCTTAGCAGTCCATACAAGGGGTTTGAGGATTTTTTTGTTTGATTCTTTTGGGGGATTTTGCCCTGTTTTGGGGATAAATGAGACCTGAAGAGAGAAGCATTAAGTTCTTCCATTAAAAGTCTTTTCCATTTATAGAAAACTGATTATAAAACAAGAAAGTTTTTAATTAATTTGCACTTTCTCTCATCAAGGCATTTTTATCTGCACATCAGTCAGTTCGGGCAGTGAAACAAGACTGGCTGGTATCACTTCATGTTAAACATTTTGGAACAATGATGGGCCCTGCTTACCTTCAGCCTTTCAGTTCTGGTGACGAAGGGTACATACACAGATAATAATTAAAAATGCCCAGAAAATACATTCTTCCAGATTCTCTTACTTAGAGACACATCCACACAAATGTATATTTGTTTTGTTTTAGCTTCCTCCTTCACAGCCTCACAACAAAAGCTTAAATTTGGCATTAAAATACTTGACTACGTATCTCCAATTATTTGAACTTAAATCCTTATTTTCAAGCTCCATCAATTCTGTACTGGCATTACTGTTTAGAACAAAAATTTTAGCAGTTTTCCACAAGATGGCTCTACTAAACAGTATCACTAATGAACAGTTTTTCAACCTTCAATTTATTTATTCAGCAATCTCCCTGTAGAAACCATCACAAAGTAGTCTAAAACTATTCTTAATATAAAACAAAGAAATGTTAATTATTGTTAATTAGGATAGGGCCTGTACTAAGAAGACTCCCACACCTGAAACTCTTGACCGTGCACTTACATGTTTCCATCTCAGAACACCACTGCCACCCCAAAGCAAAAGAATGTCTTCCTTAGCTCTCCTGACGTAGGAATTTCATGGTTTCATCTACCAGGTTATATGCATTTAGAGGAACACTCACATTGTAAAATGAAGGTAGGGTTTATGGATAGCAGCTGATGACTGTTTCTTTGGTGATCCTGAGTGACAGCTCGTCTCAAAAATTGATGATGCATTCTCATCTTCACTATCATCTAATATTAGACTTGGTACATCTGTTCCAAGAGAAGTATTAATTAAAACTTTATCACTTTTAAGTACATGTACAACAAACAAGAAAAGACATTACAATTTTTTTTTGTCAATTATAATAAATCTTCAAATGTAGGAAGAATTAGTTAAAACTGTCTAAATATCAGAATTCAGAATAATAAGTACTTATTACTTCAAAAACCAAAGCAAATTAAATACTGTAGAAGTCTAATAATTAGAATTTATTTTTTTAAGCCATCAAGCTGAATAACTTCTCAAATACAAAAGAGTTTAACTTGCTACGAAATGCTTCCTTCGGTTTCATTTCACAGCTAGAGGTTTCTTCAAGGATAGTGTCATAAAATTTGTAATTCCTCCGACTACAGAGAATTTTGTACTTATTTATTTGTTCTAAGTGTCCAAATTCTCACAGGTACACTTCTTCCAAAATTATTCTCAGCATGACTACCTAGACAATGTATGTTAATAACAAATTGTTTTCCACCCTCTGATAATCTGGCAAATAATATCAAATTAGTTTTGATCAAAATCAGTTCAGTGCATTCCACGGTCATTTACTACACCTTTACCTGTTTTAATTCCTTTGCTAATACACTGAAATACAAGTGTTACTCTCAAAAATACAATCCACTGCATGATTTGTGGATTTACACAAAGCCATGGCACAGGTCATGCTACGCAGATCAAACCATCACCACAGGACAACGGAATCACCTTCAAGGCAGCATTAAGTGCTGGGTGAAGATGTCACCTAAGGACAGAGCATCTATCCACAGGGTCCCAGGAAAAATTGTTAAGAGGCAACAAAGGTTTCCCTTATTGACTGTGTGATGTAAGAAACTGGATTCAGAGTAGGCTGGGTAGGAAAAATATCCTGCTGGCATGATGAGCATCCTTGTCAAGGCGTGATGCAGTCACACACCTGACAATCATTCCTCAGGGAGCAAAGACGAAAAAGGCTTGAAGACTCCAACCAGTGGCCAAAAGCCAGTCCATAACACGAAAGCACAGAAGCTGCTGGACATTTAGCTACAGCTACAGACAGACCTTCAAACCAGCTGGACAGAGGCCTCCTAACTCTGGGCTCACTGCAGCCCCTAAACACACAGACTTCCCAGTACACCAGATGCAGGCCATAGGGTAAGTCCTATGCTCATGTACAGGACACAGCCTTGGCTTTCTAAAACAATTATTTTAAAAGGCAGCCCATTTTTTAATATCAAGCATCAAGGCTCTGTGACATCCTTTGCTTGAGCATCTGACTCACTGAATTACAAGAACAGCAATTGTTAGTGTGATAGAGAAAACTAGATGTGTAGATTGTAAGCACACCAGTAAGCATCTCCTGTATACCTGGTTTTGAATCCAAGAAAATTTGAAGCCCAAGTGGATAATCTATATTTACATTTCATCACTGTACCTGAAAGTGGATTTTTCTGATTTTATCAAAGATTAAACTAATATATTATTCAATATTTTCTTGGGTTTAAGGAAGTAAGAATAAAAACTAAGGTAAAAAAAATTATTAAAAGAAACCTTAGTTCATGTATCTTCAAAACTAAATATCTAAAAATATTTATAAGTATCCACAGCAGCACATTATCTAATAAATCTATTTAAATCAATTAATGCTCCCAAACTCACTTTGTTAGCAGTAATGAGCAACATCAATAGGAATATACAGAATGTAACCCAACAAGATATTCTGAACTAGAACTTTACAACAAAGAGGGGGACACCAATTCTTCAGCCATAATGACAGTCTCTAAACTGGGTGTTACCAACAGGTTAACAGTATTACAGAGAGACTTAAGCATCTTAAACAACTTTGGTTATGAGAGCCTAATACAATCTAGGGGGCCTAATAGGATCTAAGTGCAGCTGCAAGCCAGCTCATTTCCCCTTACCCACCACCAGGGCTCCCAGGGCCCATCTCTGGCCAACTCCAACTCCTGTAAAACCTCCAGCTATCCCACAGTCAGCAGAAAACTGACCTGACGAACACATCATTTTTGGATGAGTTTTCTGGCTAAAATGGTTTAACAAAGGAACCTGAGGTACTAAATTAAGTGGAAAGGAGAGAGCAAAAATGCACAGCTGGGCCGCAGAAACTGCAGCAGCCAGCACAAGGATCAGCTTAAGCTGCCTGGACTGTAGGATGAAAATGTGCTCTGGAACAGGAATGGAAAGAAAAGTCGTGATTGTTACACATTTGCTTTATAAATGAGCTATTTGTAAGTTAATCACACACAACCCCAACTATCATTTACAGAGTTGGGGTGGTGAGGGTGATCCCAGGTAAGAACAGTAGAAAACAGTGTGTCAGAATAAGTAGATATCAAACCCAAGGTACCTTGTTCAACATTTAACTTCCAAGAAGTGACCAGTGTTACTATTAGAGTATGTCTCAAGAGAAGAGCTGGGTAAAAAAACCAGAACCTATTGACTCACTGCCAGTCCAAACAGTCAGTTGCATTCCTTCTTATTCCCTGCTTCCTCAGTGCACTCACGTTGCTCCCATTGCAGCAGGGATCTGGCATTCACTGACCCCTTAGTGAGTGATTTTACTCACGAATTTGGCAAAAAAAGCTAACTTGACAGAACAGCAAATAGCTCTCCACTTGGTAAGGCAACAAAATCAACCCAGAGAACCAGGAGTGCCCCAGACCAGAGTCGAAGGAAGCCTCAGGACTTAGTCATTCACCAGCAGATGACCATTACACAGGCTAAGGTATCTTGGCCAAACACAGTCTCAGCTGCTGAGCTGTGAGCTCCCAAAAGCTTCTGCACCATCAGCAAACAAAGGACTGGGGGCCAACGTTCAGGACAGCACCAATTTCAAATCCTAATACACTAAGCAACATTATCTATTTTTCTTATTTTCTGGCCTCTGATTATGCTCCATTATTTAAGTTATGTGAGTTCCCCTTTTCTTTGGATGGCCTTCACACTTCTGGGACCTTGGTCTATGTAAGTCAGTTTATGAGATTCCACAACAACTTGGAATGAGCAAAAATAACTATGGAACATCCAAGTAAACTGTATTTGTGTCCTAAAAGCACTGAAGTGAATGCACATGAGATTTAAGGTTAGTAGGAGAAGAAAGCCAGCTGAAACATTTCCAAATTGAAACAGCACTTGCAAAAAGAGCCAAACCACACACATACCTTCACTTTTGTCACCCTGGCTAAATTCAGCGTGAGGGAACACTTTGTGTAAAACCTCAAGAAGTTTAGTGAAGGTCCGTTCCAAGAGTGGTCTGATCACAGGAGACAGTGCATGTCCTGAAGACGTCACGGCACGCTGGGAAGCAGGCACAATATTCTGCATTGCATGATAAAAATCCTGCGCACTGAGGACTACCGAGGAAACATCCAGCTGTAGCTTCTGACTGCTCATGTAAATCTGGGGGTAGCGTCGTCTCAGGGCAATCAAGGCAGCCTCAGTGCAAAGTGCTTTTATGTCAGCTCCACAGTACCCTAGTACACACAAAAACAAAAATATCTTCCATTAAAAACCAGCAGTGCTGGGCTACATGTGTCTCAAACGTGCCTCAGGCTAAAAAACAATCAGTAATACTTAATTGTCAAGGTCCACAAAGCATCTGCCAAAAGGTATCAGGTCACAATCTGGTGACACTGCTGTGTACCAGAAAGTTAGACAGGTATATTAAATATACAAGAAATTAATTCCACATTGAGGTTAAAATGACTTACATTTTCACTATATCATATGATATATAGTGCATTTTCAGTCCTGGGTTATAGGTATGTCATTTCTTTTTCTTTAATATTGTCTGAAGTATGTGTGCAATTTTAACAGGCTAGTCCCTCTCCTTTTACTTTAATACCTCTATATGAGTATGTTCTTTAATAGCAAAGTAATTCTGTTACAATGAACATCAGCGACTTTAAACTTTTACAGTCTGAGAAAATGAGCAGTATAAAGAAAACTGTTTCATGAGTAGAATATGGAAGAAATGAAATCTCTTATTAAAAAAGCATACTCTAGACTACTGGAAAAATGTTCACTTCTACTATCAAGAAAAATGTTTCAGACTTTTTAGAGTTTCATAATTTTACTAATATAACCAAAAGCAGACATTAAAATGCATTAGAATTTTAATTTAGCCTTTCTTTGTAATTATCTACAGGTGGCTACCTATAATTGCTTAATCATCATTGCTGAAAAACACAGATCTGATAATTATGAAATGCTGAGAGACTTAATACCTCTGTGTCTTCTGCAGTACTAATTGTTTGGGGGTTTTCCCCAGAGCTAGAAATTAGATTTCAAATTTTTCCATCTCTCTCAGTAAGATACCTTAATATGCTCCTGTATTTTGAGGCACCATAGCTCTATCTTTCAAAATCTGTAAAGCAATATTCCAGAGAGAAAACTCTTTTAGAGAATTAGAGTCACTATAGGAAAACGTGTTGCACTGAGGCACTGCCATATAAAAGTTAATGGGTTTGTAACAAAGTGTTTATAGAAGCTAATTAATCTATTCTTTAGTTACAACTATTCGCAATCAACTGGCTTTTTTACCAGACTTCCTCCTCCCCACCAGGTCTTACACCTTTTGCACTTTTTCTTCTCTATTTTTGTATTAAGCTGAAGGAGAGAAGGTTTAGATGGCATATCAGGAAGAAATTCTTTAATTATAAGGCACTTTAACAGGTTGCCCAAAGAAGTTCCTGAAGGTGTTCAAGGCCAGGTTGGATGGGGCTGGGAGTAACCTGGTCTAGTGGCAGCTGTCCCTGGCCATGGCAGGGGGTTGGAATTAGATGATCTTTAAGGTCCCTTCCAACCCAAACCATTCTGGGATGCTATGATTGGTCTTTTGGCAGCACCAAGTCCCAAAACTGAAGCCTCCCTTGCTTCTCTCTTTTTAGCCTCTGATGTTCTTTCAGTGCTGTTGGCATCTCTATTTTTACAAGATCCATACAGCAATCAGGAACAAAGCTGATCCTACACAGTGTTGAAAAATAAAAAAGGAAGCAATTAATACAGAAGACAGACACTCTTCCATGCCCATCTCTCAGATATATAAACTTGGAGGATAATAGTAAAAGTTAACTTTTCAGCTATAAAGATGATTTATATTGGATGAGACTTCAAAATGCACCTCTTTCTCATATATACTCGAAAGTAATTTTTATAAAAACAGAAAATAAAAACCCAGATGGAAGATCCCCATAAACATCAGATGACTCCTGAAATGTTTAAACCAAGTTTTGTAATTTTATAAAAAGGTTAGTAGCTATAATTGTCTAAATTTGATGAGCCCACACTGACTTATCTAAAATGTATGTAGCAATACCCAAGTGTATGTAGCACATCCCCAAGTTACCTTCAAATAAATACACATGACATTTTGAAGGATGCTCATATATATCCACTAATCAATCAACAGACAACTAAATCTCTCCAGCACTAAGGTTATGTTGTGGGGTTTTTTTAACTAAGCCACCTCATGAAATGAAAACTATGCAGGCACACTCCAACCACGTGAAACTATTAGACAGTAGCTACAGGTGCATCAGAGGAATCAAAACCAGAGTTTTTCCTCTAAATTCTGCTTTGTTCTTTAAGTATCAGGTATCACATTCCCGTTTAAATTGGCCCTATTCTCATCCAAGGAGCACACTGGATTAAACAAAAAATGATAGGGTGGGGGGAGATCACTAAACTGAAGCTTAAATCAAAGATATGTTGGAGATATACAGCACCCTGAATACCTGTCACCTTAAAAACTAGTTTAGTGTCTTCGTGACAAAAGATTCGGCAGCTCAGGTGCTGTATCCTTTCCAAGTTTTCTATTAATAAATGCTGTAATATCACTTTCTAAGTCATTTTAATCACCGCTTGTACATCTCCAAAGAATTGCAAAATTAGAAAATAATAGCCTGTAGCCTATTTTTAAAATTACATTCTCAGGTGATCAGATACACAATTAGTCTCCATTTCTACTTTTCATTTCTCAGGAGCAATTACATTTGAAGACTAATAATTGGTGTCTCTTTTTGAGGGGCTCTCTTGTGCATACTCTACATCCATTTCAGTGACAAAAAATCTGCAGAAATCATGTATCTTGTGGAAAATTAAGGAGCTTTTTATTCCTGAGAATCAAATGCACACTGATTAAGAGGAAGAAAAACATGAGTGAAGTATTGTCGAAGCAAAATTAAACATATCATGCCATCAGTAAATATCCTGAATTTATTTTTATCCAAATTGACACTATAATATAAACCCAGGGTTCAGTGCATTTGCTTCCATTTTTGAAGCATGTCACAGAAGATGTTCAATTTGCCAGGCAAAATGTACTGTCACACCTCAAGTTAGAGCAAAACAAGGATTCTTGTCAAGTAGCCAATTTTCTTCTACCCAGCACCACCACACTCTGCTAAGCATTTCTGAGTCCAACTTTCAAAAAGCAGAACAGCAAACAAGTGGATTCCCATGCAGATTGTCAAAGAATGCACTCTAATCACTGTCATTTTCAAGTGATACTCTTCCACCTCTACTGTGTGGAAATTATGTCCTCTTCAAAATTTCATCTAATACCCACCCTAAAAAAACCTACAACAAACTGCTACTGAAGTGGGTGAAACATTTAGGGGAATAGTTTTGACCACTTCTTCCAAAGTATGTCATTCAACTTCCTACAACTCCTAAAATGGACTGCAGAGAAAGAGAGTTAGCAAACAACTCAGCATGACAGAGATGAAAAATAACTCTTACATTTCTTTACAAGAATTGAGAAGAACATGAACACTAATGCCAAAGTTCCCCCCTTCATTACTACATCAGGCTGGGAGAGAAAAATCTAACAAGGTATCATTTTGCCACAAAATGCTCCCGCAATAATAAGCACAGAATATTTTGAGTGTGATAGTTTGCTTCTTTACAATTTTGCTTAACATTCTTTAAATAAGCTTTACTACATTGTAAAAAGATTCATCTGCAGGATGACAGATGGAGGCATTCACACATTTTTGGTTGCTAATGTTTTGTTTCCTACAAGACTGAGTTCACAGGTAACAGTCCACCTACAGAAAGTTACCATTCAGAAGAAGAGAATAAGCACAAGAAATAAGAAAGGATTTACAAAACTCAGGGTATCTGGGACCCACCTCCAGTAAGGAGAAAAAGCCACAGTAATAACTTGTGTTTACTGAAGGTAGAAATAAGACATGAGTGTGTGTGGTCTTCTGAGCAACGCTGTGCTCTCCCCAAGCTGCTTCACTGTCTCACGCACATCGCAGTCATGAGGCCATTCAGCAAAGTGAAATCTTTAATTCTCACATACACAGAAATCTTCTAAAAAGGTATGTAATCCCTAACACCTGGGACAAAAATCAACCCTCAGGAAATAACCCATTTTTCGTAAGTCCTGATGCTCTTCCCTTTCAATTTCTTTCTAATTACACCCCGGATCTTAAAAAGTTTAGAGTCGCACATACACCTGTTTCCCCAAAGTCATTCCCTTTGGGAGTATTTCATCAGTTTTCTTCCTTAGGATCCAAAAGTTTGGAGTTAAGCATCACCAGGTTTGCTGAAGTGGAGCGAGGAACCAACCATGCTGTGCAAAAAGCCTGGCCAGTCTGGGAAATTTTTACTTGGGGAAGGTGGGGGGGCGTTGTTTTTTTGGGAGGAAAGTTGTTTTTGAAGAAAAGCTGCCCACAAGAGGAAATAGCAGACTGGTATATATTGTAGGTGTGCCAATGAGTCCGATTTGTAACGGCCACAAAGAATCTGGAACGTCTGTTTAAATCATTAGTTGGTACAGATTTCACTTTTAGAAATGATGAGGCAGTCTCAAGGAGAAGAAGATAAACCAGTCCTACTTCAGCTGTTTTGAAAAGTGCTTGTAATAGTCAAAAGGTTTTAAACTTTGATGTATGGAAACACTTAAGTTCCAAGATACAGAATGGAGACAATCAAGTGTACAGCAGTTGAAGAGTAGGAAAGCCAAGGAAAATAGAAAAGGGTATTTCTTTTGTTAGCTGACTTTTCCACAGAACTTACAGGCTTTAAGGAGCACAAAGAAGGTCTTCCAATCAAACCTACAAATGGCTTTCCCTGTTGTCTGAAATTTTAAAATACATAATTGTGTTCTCAAGGAAAAAATAAGGAGAATTTTCCAAGAAACATCTGTGGTTTTTCCCACCTATTCCCCTCTCTCCCACTAAGCAGCACCACTGTCTTGGCATAAATCAAGCAGAATTTACATGAAATGGGTTTGGCACGTGCTGTCTTATACCCGGCAAAGCTTAAACTGGAGTTTGCTGGATAGTTATGTTTTCTCCTCACCAGAAGATGTTGAGGTCTTTGTGCATCAAAAGCGGAGGGATGCTGCTTCGGTGACAGATGTCCCTGTGGATGAAGAGGATAATTCGGATGTACTGTAGCTGACTGAATGGACTGATGTTCAATTTAAAGTTCTTAGGTTCTCTGATGTGCTGGATTCCAAAGCACAGATATTTGAGACTGTCCTTTTGCTGAGAACTTCAGTGCTTGTCCAAGCAGACAGAGGATGTATCTTTGCATGACAAATTGTTGAGAAGAGATCGAGGGGGGTGTGCTTAAGGGTCAATTCCTCTGTTAAATTCACTATAAAAATATTTGAGCTTATTTCTGATTAGATTTAAACAGCAGGCTTATCTTGAACAACCAACCTCCATTCAGTACAGCAGGTCTTTGGGAGTTCCAAAGGTGTATTTAATGTATTCATGGTGTGGTGCCCTTTTTTTTCCCCCTGCCTATGTCTACACTTTGAAGTTGTTCTGTGCTAGCAATCTGAAAAAAAATTCATCTTTAGAAAGGCTGGTTAGTTTGTTGGATTTACGTCAGAGGGGAGCATGCCAGTCAGTAAAAAACAAACAAAAAACAAAAAGCCAAAAACACACACAAGTACTGATTTTTTTTTCCTCAACAAGTAGACAGAAAACCCCCAAGTCTCCCTGTCTTTTGTAACGTGCTCATCTAATGGGAAGTCTACCTAAAGATTCCAATTCCACCTTCATTTTACTTCTCTTGGAGGGTATGCATGAAGACAGGGATGTTACAGAAAGGAAACAGGGTTGTATTTCCAAACAACTACTAGCTACTCGTATGGTGTTTTAGTAAGACAGAAACATATTTTGTTATCACAAAAAGTGTTGTTCAAAGTACAGAAGTGTAGGAAGGTAAAGATAAGAAAATACCTTGATACATTTAACATACCTTCAAAGTCTTACACAGAAGGGAAAGCTTCTACAGTAAAAGTACTAACATCATAACACTCACCAACACATTTTTCAGCCAGTTCTCCTAAGAAAGGATCTGACAATTTGGGGTTCCAATCCCTGGTATGAATTTGTAAAATGTGCTTTCGTGCCTGATTTAAAAAATAAAAAAATAAATTAAAAAATACATAAATTAGAAAACCAAATCCATGTTATAATATTTTAGAGAAAAATAATATTTATTCTTGTGAATCTGAAGTTATTTTACTGTTTTTTGACATATCGCTGACAGTCCTACACAAAATAGAACTTAGGACTTGAAAAAATCTCTTAAGAGCAAAGGTTTTCCCTTCCTTTTCAATTTTATATATAAGCAGCAATTTTTTGAGTATATGTTATACATTTTAATTGCTGTTTCATCAACATTATTATACATGAACTGATCAAAACTCACGTTCTATAAGGAATCATCATAGTTTAATAATTTAATTTTTAATTACTGTACCTATGATTAGGAGCTTCCACTGTCAAATGTCTCACCAATGAATGTGTTGCTGAATTGCACAGCACATACACACGAATCCCAAAACAATTTCAGCTAAAAATTCTATAGAATCCAAATACATCTATCAATATACAAAGTAAATTTAATTTTAAGCATAAATTCATGAAATATTATGTCTGAGTTTGTGCAAGCCTAGAATAAGGAACTGAAATGTTCCTACTGACAATACAGTAAGGTCTGACTTAGCATCTACATATTTTACATACTTAGAAGTCTACAAGATTTAAAAAGTTATTTTCTCCTATCATAACTTCCAAAACCCCAAATAGTTGGGGTTCATTATACAAATCCATCGTTTTTAGATACGCAATTGAGTTTATTGTGAATAATTTACCTGTTTAGTTTTAACTACATCCCGAACACCTAAAGTTCAATACAACTTTATGTATACAATCTGTTTGTACTACAAATGTCTTCCTAATTAAACATTCTTACAAGCAAGAATGGGTATTTTTGTTTCATAAGTTTGGCTGTCAGGCATTCCCATGTTTAATATCCTAAAGATGTTTATTAATAAATCTCACTTCTGGGTTTTACCTTTTTATCAGGCAAGTTGAAAAGAAATTCCCTGTCAAAGCGACCAGGTCTCCTGAGCGCAGGATCTATAGAATCCAGTCTGTTTGTAGCACCAATTACAACTATTTCACCTCTATTATCCAGTCCATCCATGAGGGCAAGAAGAGTAGACACTATGGAGCTAAAAGAAATGTTTCAGAAAAAGAATATATAGAGAACGCTGCACAAAGTTTTGGATTTTCAAATGAAACATTAATAATTTCAAAGGAAAAAAGCCAAGTTTAAAGAAAACAGGTGCATAACAATTTCAAGTCTCATATGTTCCATTAACCTCCTTGTCTGCTGGTCCCAAATTTCTCTCCTGTTTCTCTCTTCCTTGAGTGAAGGGACATATAAACCAAAATGCCACCACCTATATAATGACAGATACAAGTGTGTTGCCATACAGAGCAGAGCAAAACTGAGATTGAAAGCAGCCAGGAAAATTTTCAGCCAACTGTTGTAAAAAATGTTTTAAAAAATGACACGATAGCAACACAAGATAAGTTTGCACATCGCACCAGCTAGAACCAAAAAAAAAGGGGAGTTCAGTTCATTCATAGAACATTAAAATTCATCATCTTAAAAAAAAATTTTTTTCAACTTGCTATTCTATTGGGCTGGTAACAGACAATCTGTTTAAAGCACAGAAACAAATGAAAAGCTGTGGAAATCTTGCAGTTAATAACGTGGATGAAGGATAATCACCACTACAATTCAATTCCCAGCAAATTACAGTCTGCCTGGAGGACTGAAAAGATGACTTTCAACACCAAAGAAACAATCTGTCCTTTCTAGGGTAAGTGGGCTCCAGAAAAAAAGCAAAAACCTTTCCTGGGAACTGAATAAAGTTAGATTTAAGGGTTTACCAAGATAACACACCATATACCAAGATAATGGCAGCATATGAGAAATATTACCTGTGAATCTGATCTTGTCTGCTAGAACGAACTGGAGCCAAGCCATCTATTTCATCAAAAAAGATTATAGAGGGTCTCATCAAGTATGCCTGGTATGAAATAAATAAAAAAAAATTAAATTCACTGTTAATTCATAATTTATCCATCAGCATTGAAAACTGTTTTTACTACAATGCATTAACATGCTAGACTAACACAAATATTGAGACATATTTGTTAAGAAGTGTACAGTCTGAAGAGAAAACTAAATTTTCAACTACAGCACCATTTCAAAGCAAAACAGGTTGCATTCTGCTGTGAGTAAGCAAGATGGCACCAGTGTACCAGTTTTACTGTGTGCTGGACAGGTTAAAGACAAACTGAGACACTTCACACTCAGTTACAGAAAACACGATCTTATCTGCTCATAATCTGTTTGTTTGGACATATCTATCTGAAAACTACTTTTCTTTGAGCTACTGCATTTCACTTGTTTATGTGACTCTTTCTTCAGTCCCATCTCTTCTAAGCCAAATAAACACAGTATAACAGACACAAAATCAACACAACGGTGCATCCTCCTCTGTAGCATTTATCTTGAACATGCCAGTCAAACTCAAACTCACTGATTAAATTTTTTTTTTTTCCAATTTTTACCCAAATCACTTTGCTTCATTAATGGACAAGTCAATAGACTTCTTCCTCTTAATTTTCAGAGCAAGAAAAACTGTTATCAATATTCCTCTATTCTTTTCATCTACATATGACATTTGGACAAATCCTGCTTAATTTATGAACATTTACAAATACTTAGTTTCAGTGGCAAATAAAACTTTGGCTGCCTAAACCACAAAAAACAACATACAGAAAAATTACATGAAAAATACGTATTGTCTTCTAACCTGATCAAAAAGGAGTCGAAGCTGACGTTCGGATTCACCAACCCACTTACTGAGACAGTCTGCTCCTTTCCTCATAAAGAAAGCCACCTTTTTGTCTCCTTGACTGCACTCATTAGCTAGAGCTCTAGCTACCAAGGTTTTACCTGTTCCAGGAGGACCATAGAATAAACAGCCCCTGAAGATAAATGGATCAACACAGTCACAAACTTATTTTATGTCTCCTGAAAAACTCCAAGTCAAATTTTATAATGAAGACAGGGAGCCTGGAGAAGAAAGACTTAAGATCTCATATTATTATTTAGTGTATTAACATGACTTCATAAAATCTAAGTTTGTTTTACTCTTTCAAATCAGTAAAACTTTGATTTGTAAAGATCATTAATCAATGGCATACTAAGTTTCCAAAGGATACTTTTACATTAGTTAAAACACCTTCTCAAATATTAGAACTTGAGTCAGTGTTTGTTACTTCTTTGGAAAGAAGGAATTCCTTTAAATTAAAAAAATACTCCAAAATTTTCAATTTACTTAGATTCCATGTATCCATTTAAATTACATACCAAGATGTCTGATTAAGAAATACTAAAATCATAATATAACATTATTGAGATTACACCTATAAAAGATACATCAGCATTTCACTTGATTTAGTAAAGTATTTGATAACACAATTGGGGATAGAAATGGCAAGGTGCTACTAAATAGAACACTTGAGAATCTTTCTTTAACCAAATCACAAAGTTCACCTTTCTATCACAAGAAAAATAACTACATATTTTTTTAAAATAAAGATTTTTTTAACTCTTCATCCTGCTTATTACACTCTGCTAGACAAGTGGGGTAGCAAACACATAGGTCTATCTGAACTGTAAAACACTTCAAGGAAAGAATCAATCTTCTATGTGTTTTCAAGTGAAGCATTCTTCAGAGCTTAATAAAATAAAACAATATGAATAAATACACCTACCTTGGTGGCTGAATTTTGAATTTTTCAAATATTTCTGGATAGAGAAGAGGAAACACTACCATTTCCTTAAGTGCAAGGATATGATGGCTCAATCCCCCTATACTATCAAAACACACCTTAGGAAAAAGAAAAGAGAGCACACAAAGCTTATATTGTAACAGCTTTCCACAAAAATATCTTTACTTATAAAATATTTGAAAACAAATTACAAAAACCACTGCATTGACCCACAGGAGTTCCCTGAATTTTGACAGTGTATTTGAAAAAGTCAACTCTTGGCTGCCCACATGAGGTTTATCTGGTTTGCAAGCTAACTATGCCAGGGATGCCTGAACATCTACAGAGATCCAGCCTAAGTCCCAGATCATCTTTAAGCTCAGGCACAGCATAACATGAATACAGTCAAAGCACTTCTAGGCAGAGGTTTAGTTCCAGTAGCAATTCAGCAGCTTCTGCACAGCACACACCACAAGCTGATGTGCATGGTTGGTTCTGAATGCACAGGACCCACATGGTACCAGAGTTAACCAGCCCAGAGGGTCAGGATCTCTGTTTGCTGCACTGCTCAGCATATCCCAGTTCCCACTAGTACAAGTAATCACAAACTGACTGTAAACAAAAAAATACAGCTGGGCAACTGATATTCTGGCTTATTTCTGACATGCATGCAGCCTGCTGACTACCCACAGGCCAAAAGCAAGTGCTTTGCAGTCTAAAGAAATAAACAGACAAAAGCTTTGGGAAAAATAAAGAGATCAGCGAGCTTCCTATGAGTTTACTTCAACTCTAATAAGAGGCTGTGGAGTTACCTGTAAATAATTGGGGGAAGGGAAATAAAACATCCTAACAGAACTTACCGATTTATCAACAATCATAGGGTCAACATCAGCCAAACTGGCCCCAACTTTCACACGTTCTCGAAGGATTCCACTAGCTAAGTCTTCTGCTCTAAAGTTTAAAGGCAAGCACCTGTTCAACCACAAACAAAACACCAAATAAATACTGTTCTGTTTTGTGCATTTGCCTGAAGGGAAGAACCAAGAGATTAAGTGCCTTCTACTACATAAAGAGACAACCTTCCTGGATCGATAAGGTAAACAAAATTGACCTTTTTTATTGGGGTAATTATTATTGTGTATGTGGAAGTTCCTTACATAAAGTTAGTTTTATGCCTCCATAGAGGTACTTCAATCTGGACAACTAGGTTGTACAGACTATTTTAATTAAACACAAAAAAAAAAAAAAAAAAAACACCACCCACAAACATTTCCTTGCTTTAAGGATGCAGTACCTACATAGGAACTACATCAGGTCAACTACACAGATAAAGGTCCCAGCAAAGACAAAAGTTACACTCAGAACTGCACTTTTGGTAGTTGTATAATCGCTTGAATTCCTCATGATGGAAAAAGGAAGAGTGTGGCAGAGAGGAAGAGTTGGAAAAAAAGAAGAGGAAACTTTTTTTAATGCTGAATTTTCCAACTAATGCATCTATGGCAGTAAGTACATTTACAGATCTTCCACTTTTAGATAACTGCTACATACATGTAAGGTGAAAAAAATATGTGTTGGGTGTGTAGCATGCATGGATTGTTACACCAGAGGAAGAGGGAAGAGCTAGCACTGGGAATACAACTGAATTAACTTGTACCAAGTAACACCAAGAATAAAAATCTATTTTAACAAACAGAAGCTGTCTTATAGCCCAACTGAATCAAACAGCTATTCTTACCTACTATTAATTATCTCCTCATAAGACTTCAAGATCTATATTAATATGTGACCAGCAGTTTTCCTAAACCATGAATCAAATGATGCATAATGGAAGTCAAACCCTTCTAAAGACCAAGGATGTTTTGATACCCATTTCTTGCTCTGGCTATGCTTTTAGATTTTCTTCTTTCAAAGCGTTCTTCATCTGAAGAGGTTGTATCACTGCTGTGAATGGCATGCTTCTTTCTCCTGTTGAAGTGGCAAAAACAAACAGAAAACTCAGTCTTTTTTGCAGCAGAATGGCATGTTTTGGTTCTTTTATAAAAATAAAACCAAAACGGTAAGTACAGCACTGTTCAGGTTTGAGACGCACACAAATTTTAGCTTTGTTAAGTATCAAAATAATCTGAGAGGGGAACAACAGCTCTTACTAGCACAGGGATTATCTGATTACAACATGAACATCACTAAAACAGTAGAAGCCCTTAAGATATGCGGTCCAGTCTATGTTGCCTCAGCAATGCAATTTGAGTAGTCAATCAATAAGCTACAACTGTACTTTGGGAAGCTTCCAACCACTTTAGTCACCTCTAACACAAGAGAAATACCAAGATCTCCTTACTCAGTCTGACGGTTTCATTTAAATATTCTCTGAAAAAATTCAATACTTCCCGAAGTATATAGTCTCTCTTTATGAGGTTATTCATTCTGAACAGCAGAGTAGTTTCATAAAATACCAGTACTGTAGTTTAACTTCTGATCTGAATCCAAGTAAAATTACTATTCAAAGTCTGAATGAGCCATTTCTTGTTTTAGTATGACCATATCTCAGAAAACTGAGTATTTCAGAAATATCAGAAAATGTACATTAAATCATCTGTACAAAAAGGTGCTGAGTTTGGTATTAGTTTGAAAAATTCAGCACTTTTTTTGCATGGAAAAGGTGACTACTAATAAAAAGTCTTGGATTTTAGGTGAATATAGTGAGCTGCATCATTTGTATGAATATGCTAATGCACTGAACTAGCTGTTTTTTGCCAATGGATAACATGGTCAATCAGTTTTACTACTAAATGACCAAAAATGAGAAAATGTCAAAGTATCACAAGGAGAATATCATGCAATCAGTAAGACATCTTATGATGGTGTCCTGACAAGAAGGGATAAGAGTGGAGCAATGAGCAGGCTAAAACTGAAGAGATAATAATTTTCACACTCTTCATATCTTGATAGTAAGTACAAGTTCTGAGATTATCCAGGACAATTTCATATGCACTTCAAGAGTGGGGGAGGGAAAACAAACTTTTATTTATATTAGAAAGAAACTGTAAAATCATAAAATTCATCTATTACTTCACTTTTCATATTTTCACTACACCATTAAACTGAACAATAAGACAAGCGTTTCAGCTATGACTAGCATTCGTTTACTTGGATTCTGTTCATGGACAGATTTATCTTTTTGAAGCTTTGACTAAGTTTATTTTTCAAAAAATGCATTAAGCTGTAATCTCATCTGTTTTGTTACATAAAGCCTACTGACAGTTTCCAAGACAACTTGGTATATTCCAGACTTCTTTGACACAAAACATAAGAGTCAAAAATTACGCTTGCTAAATATTTTATTAAATTGTTGATAATCCTTGGATGAAACTTGAATGGAGAGAAAACAAAAAACATTAACCTAGTTTTTCAGAACAGAAAAGGGAGTATTTGTTAAACTGATGCTTTGGATTAAAACACGACATGTACGGCCTTCCAGAAACAGTGCGCAGTGTACAACTGTTCCCAGTGCTTGTAGCACACCTGTTCCCATTCTGCTCAGCCCAAAGCTTCCACTGGGATTGCAAAGTGCCAAGACTCTCCAATTTGTGTGCTGATCAGGGCCTAAACCTGGGATACAATTCAAGACCCACACACACATATGTGAATGAACTGTGTAACTCACTCAAGAACGGTCTGAAGATCAAAAACTACCAGAATGTACTGAAGGAAAGCAAATAACTACATACCAAAAGACTGACATTTACCTGATATGGCTTCTTCTTGCAGGAGATCTGTGGATGTCAAACAGTGTATTTTCTCTCTTTTTTTGATGTGCTGGCACTAAGAAAGAAAAGTTACAGGTTTGTAACATCAATTACAAAAGAATAATAGACTAATCTAAATGCAGCAGAAAAGTGCTAGATAATCACTTCAGCAATTAGGTTACCACTGGTTTCTCCAAAAGCTCAAATTAAGAAAAGAACTAGGGGGTAGTGGAAAATCAAACCTCTTATGCTTTATTTTACTATCACCAACTTGGCTTAAAGCAGGCACAGCAATTCCATCGTCACACTCCTCACACTATCACAGCTGTGGCTAGTACAGTACAGAATGTAGCTCATCTAGGGCACTGCATTTCTAGTTTATTTTCAGGATATGAAGGTCCACACAGAAACCTCTCCACAGCTGATAATATGTGATGTCTTGAAATTTCTCTTGAGAAATAAACCACAGCATTTTTCTATTAAGAGTTTTAATTTCCAAGTTGCCTTAAGATAAAGCACACTGATACCCCACTGCAGTCTAGACCAAAAATGCACATTATTTTAAACAGAAGTATTAAAAGGTTCAAAATTAGAGACACTACACTGTACCCTGTATGGACCCTGATGGTATGTCCTGTGAGGAACAAGGGGTTTGTCTAGCTGGGAGAAAAGGAGGCTGAGGGACAACCTCATTCTCTTTACAGCTTCCTGACAAGGGGAAATGGAGGAGGTGCTGAACTCTTCTCCCTGGGATCCAGAGACAGGACATGTGGAAATGGTTCCAAGATGCATCAGGGTAAACTCAAACTTGACACGAAGCATTTCCTTACTGAGAGGGTGCTCAAACACTGAACAGGGTTCCTAAAGAGGTGTTTGATACTCCAATGCCTGTCAGCATTTAAGTGACATTTGGACAACACCCTGAATAACATTTTACCTTTCAGTCAGCCCTGAAGTTGTCAGGCAGTCAGACTAGAAGATCATTGTAGGTTACTTCCAAATTTCTCATCCAGGCAAAATGTCATTTGTCTACAATTATTAATTAGGTTTACCACTCAAGAAAAAAAGCAGGTGTAACAGCAACTATTTTTTCTATGTAATAACCTAATTTATTAGACTGCTTCATGTCAAACGTTTCCTGACTTAAACCCTGTTGACCCCCGGCCCTGAGCCCAGCACGTGGCAGTACTTGCAGAGTTCATTGAGGCAGCAATGCCACCCCCACTGACAAAGTGACAGACCGTGTCTCAGCAGTCCTGTTCGCGTCATGAACAACAACAGGGGCAGGGCGGAAGTCACAAAGTGCTGTGTGGGAACTCTGTCGGGGATGAAGAGCAGCCATCCAACTTTTCCCTCCCCACACCTGTGCTATTCTTGGAGGTCAGCAGACCAAAAGCACACAAGCACTGTCTGGTTCCTCACCTATTGGAGGGGCCTGGTATCTTTCAACAGTTTTTCTCTGTCTGAGATTATAGGGTCGATCATTTTCTTCCCCCTCGGCTTCTTCTACTTCTATATCTCCATCTTCTTCCTGAGACTCTGTTGGGGGGTAAAAATATTTTGAGAACACTTCTACTCGATGTCAGAGTTACTTTCATCCTAAAAATTAACATTTTAATGGTCACTGAGAATTACTGCCCTCTTATTAAATAACACTAATTAGAAAATCACTGGAAATTTGAAGACCAAGCTAAATCTACAGTCACTGTCAAGTTTCCTTCTAGTTTTCTACAGAAGGTTCTGGAAAAGGAAGAAAAATAAATGCATTCAAAACAGTTTGAGTTGTAAAGTACTTCAAATATCACTTCCATCCATTACATTTTTCCTTCAATAACTATCCTTCAAATTAAGAATAATGCGTGTCCTCTCTTTTCCCATAGGAGCCTCAGAAAATCAAGCATTTGACACAGCACGAAAATAAGTACAACTTTATGATTCACAGTATCACTTTGACACAAAGCAAAGGAACAGTGTATAAAGGCATAACTTAGGCCCATCTATTAACAGCATCAGAATCTCCATCCACAGATCTCATAACTAAGACTGAATTCTTATTCACTGGGACAAATCATATCATGTACAGCAGTTTTAGTTAAAAACTGAGACACACTATGCTGAACCCTGTAGGGATGCCTGAAATTTGAGTCTGATTTCTTAAGGAAGCCAAGCATGATGCTGATCATGTCATCACAGTTAGTCACAATCCCTTCTTTATCAGTAATTTTTGAACCCACAGGTCAGTTCCATTAAAATTTTTAAAAGAAGGTAGAATTTCAAACACAGTTGTGTGTCTACAAGCCTTTTAAAATTCAGTCAATGGACTTTGAAAACAGGGACTTTAATTAATACCTTCCCCAAAGAAAGGATGCAGGACTGACTATTACACATTCTTTCTGGTAACTACTACCCAGCACACGAGAAAAATCAAGTCAGTTAGAACACACATAGTTGTAGACTACATTCATCACATCCTGGCTTCCACCAGAGGATTGTTACAGGGAATATAAAGAAAGTTTTAATTACTTAGTGCTATGAAAAACAGGAGTAGGGAAATGTAGAACAAACATTTAGAAACCAGGCTCTGCTCTCCCATAGTGCAATATATTGCTGTCTTATACTACAGAGAACTTTGTTTTACAAGGATTTCAGACAAGCCCTTACAATTCTGTACAATCCATACCTTCTTCTTCCCCTTCTGTGGATACCTCATGGTGGTTCTGAATTCCATAGCTATTTCTCCTCAGTGATTTCCTCCTCCTTTTCACTCGAGAATACATATCCATGTTTTCCTGGAATAAAACACACATGCACTCCCATCAGTACTGTCCCATGTCCCTCACAGTGTCAGCCCTCAGTTCAGTAATACCCTGAGATGAGCTCAGCTGGTTAGAACATGATGTCAATAATGCCAAGGTTGCAGGTTTGATCCCTGTATGGGCCATCCACTTAAGAGTTGGACTCGATGATCCTTGGGATCCCTTCCAACCCAGAATACTCTGTAATGCTCCACACAATCTGTAGTTCTCAAATGTTTTTCCAGCAGAGTTCTCCACAGGTAGACTACAGAAGTAGTCTCCTGTAAGAGGTGCTGAAGTCTCTCAAATAGTACTTAGTCCATCTAACACAGTTAACATCAGTAACAAGCTGTTTTAGGGAACAAAGCAAATGACAGTCACTGGTCCTGTTTCTAGGCTATCAGAGTGTGCTTCAAACCAAAGGAGAACCACCACAGCACATCATGAGAGCATGACAGTCAATTTAACAATAAAGAAAACATATTTTGGTATGTATCCATTAATTCAGTTCTGAATTTCAGTTTATCAAGTTTTTTAATGTTGTCCACAGAGGAAAAATCAGAAACCTTTTAGACAGAGCTAGATAAATATGTGGTCTTTGCAAAAACAAACATGGTCCCCCTTGATACTTCTTTTATCCAAGAGTTGGGACATTTTGCACTTACAAATTCTGTGTCTGTCCACATCCGTAGCCGTTCCACTTCCCCCGATCGCCTGTTCCTCCTGATGTTGATATTGTCCATTTCCTGTAGGACAGCTTCAGCAGTACTGAAATATGTGCAGCAATTAATACACAAAGATAAAAAAATCAGCCTTAAAACAGGAGCATGCAGAACTTTTTACACAGCATCTAACATCCTAAGATGTCTATCAACTAACTACAAAACCAACCATAATAAAACTGAAAGATGAACGTACGGAATACAAAGTAAGAAGTGTGCAAAAGGAGAAATGCTGATGCTATTAAAATCTGGGATTCAAATCAGGTTGTAACATTTTAAAAAACATTTTTAAAAATTTTTGCTCAGTGTAAATCATGACATATAAATTTGTGACTGCTTAGATGTTAACATTGGGAGTCAGGTAAATTTGCAAAAAAAAAAAAAAAAAAAAAAAAGAAAGTAAAGCTTTTTACCTGCATAATTATAATTCTGGGAATGCAATTAATGCCTCCACCCCATAAGCTTTACAGTTTTTTATTCTGGTCCCAAAAAGACACTAAAAAAAGGATTTTTTTTTTGGTATTAAATCAGTCACACCTATAATTTCATCATTCAGTATTTGACCTCACTACCATTTCTCATCTATTTAATTAGTCTACATTTTCATTATCTGGAGTATTTGTAAACAGCTGTCAAAACAATGGTGGTATATAAATAACAACCTTGGCCAAGATGCCTCATTGCTAAGGAAGAGAACAGCAGAGCATTAACCAGGCCAAGTCAATTATTTGGCCACCTGTCCTGAACACCATGTTACTGCTCTCCATGGTGATTATAGTAGATTTCCACTGGAATTATACTATAATTGTATAGTAATTGTCAGAAGAAAAAAAAAAAAAGGAAGTGAAAGTTTCTTTTTCCCAGCAGTTTAGAGGTAAATCTAAAGGGTGAAATCCTGCCTTGAGAGAAGGCAGTAAAAGTTCTGGTGAAAAAAGTCAGTAAAATGAAGATTTTGTTATGAAAGCTCCTCTCAATTTTAAACAATTTTTCTAAAATATCTGATGTATGACAGAACCACTTCAAGTAAAATCATGCTGCAGTTTGCTATCAAGGAAAATACAGTTGGAAGGGACCCGGAAAAGTGTACGTGCTCTGCCAGGCAAGAGCAAACTACAGAATGCCGACATCATTCCTGACAGATATTTGTCTGACCTGTTCTTAAAAACCTCCAGTGATTATGGGACACACTGTTATCAGTGTAAGCTCATATATAGACTTCAGTACCATGATCTTATCAAATTACAATCTTCATGGTAGACTTTTTCCTACTGTTCATAAGAAGAGGGAGATTTAACTGCAACTAGAAAAATAAATGTAACTTAACATAAATTCGTAAGTTGATACTAAGTAGTTACTGAGTAAGTTGAAAAAGAAAATAAATAAAAGATCAACAGAATACATTTAACAATAAAGATCACACTTAGCAATTGAGTGTTTATGTTTAAATCATTTTTCAACACTAGAGAAAGCAGTCTCTCACAGATGTGACTGTTAAAACCTGCTTTACAGGTGGGAAGATTGGGACATATTAAGTGACTTGCCCAGGGCCACACAGAAATAATATTTTAAGAAAAGCATTTCTGGCTCCCATTCCTATGCTCAGACCAGACCGTGCCTCACTGTCTGACCTACTTTGTCTGCACAGTAAATGTCAAAAAGTGACACCCACCCTATGTGAATTACTAAGAGATGGTAAAAAAACAAGAACAAAAAGAAAGCTACAAACTTTTGATATTTTATGATCAAAATCATACACACAAAATCTAGAAAGCTTCCGAGCACTGCTGCTAATCACCAATTTACATCACATTTAGGGTATCACTACATAAACAGGTTACCAAGAAACAAACTAGGGTGTGGATTTACAGTACGTCAGGCACTCTGCAGTAACTGCCAACATACAGATTTAACCAGGTGTAAACACAGAGTAGATTCCTCCTCAATGAAAGCCTGGGAGGGTGCTCTGCGTTTAGAGCATGGATACCACGGGCAGTGACAGCAAAGACCCAGCTGCAACTCAAACCACAATCTAGCTTGTCTCAGTGCATCCCCACAGTAAAACAGACACGGCACCGCAACACAGAGGTTTCTAATTTTAAGACATCATTAAGTTGTGAATACAACTGAAGTATCCCCACATACCTGTTTACTAGCTGATCAAACAATAAACTCTGATTCAAAGTTTCGAATCTGTTTTTCCTGGACCGACAACTTTTTCTGACTTCTATATCTCCGTTTATGCAAGCATGGTCCCCATCTCCCTTTTTTTCCCCTCGAAGGGGGTGGCTTTTGAGAGCTAAGAGAAATTTGTATTACTACTTAAAAATGCAGGAAACAACATTTTCACAAACAAGAATTAGTAAGAGAATACTTAGCAAGGACAATAAATCAGAAGTTATGGAGCACAGTATGATCTAAAGAACTGTATTCTTTTTAATTCCTAACAAAGTTATTTTAAAAGCTATTTCTTCGGCTTGTTTCCTTATATGATAATCTTACTTTATGATGAAAATCTGGCATTTAAATAACCATTCAATATTTTTAAGTTAACATCAGTACTACAATGCACTCTTGGCCCTCAGTTTCAATTCTTAGTCTTTCAAACAGAGTATCAAAAGGTGATATACAACATATTGATTTCCCAGTTACTCTGTACGGTGCCAAACAAAAAGAGATCCCACTCCTGATTGCTCCTTAGGCACCACAATAAATAATAAAATAGTAAATATGCTTAATGAATTAACATGTACATAGAGTCCACACAGAACTAAACGGGACAGAATTGATGAAAAAGGGACACGAAAGACAAAGTGGTTTTAGCTGAGAAAAGCAATGGAATGGCAAGTTTGTAAGGTACAAGCATATAGAAAGATTGTTCAAGGTAGCAGGAGCTGCAGACAAGGCAGGTCTCTCTAAAGCAATAGTAGACTTAAGTAATGTTAAGAACTACAAAAGGCCAAATTTCAGACAAGCAAGGAGAGTAAGTAATTAAAGAGACCAGCTGGGCAAGGAAGGCCAAAATTAGTTCCTAAGAGTAATTTGGGAATTAAGAAAAAATATCAAGTTCACGGCCAACAGGTCTGAATTGAGAAAAGAAATGGATTTTCATCTAAAAATGATCCCCATATCCACAGAGAGCATCCAAGATGCTGACAGAAGAAAACTGAGCCAAAACAGTAACTTTTCTGGTCAAAATGGTCAGGGCAATCAGTGAAGTTATCAAAAACATATGCCACTGAATATCACTGACATAAAATTGCTGAATGCAAAAGTAGATACAAAAGGGTTTGCTATAAAACACTTACATAAGCTACGTCCATTTGGTAGTGTAGCACCAGGCTGAGAAGTTAACCTGGGAAACAGATCAGACACACAAGTAACGTTAACATTCCTTAGCCAAGCTAGAGGCACAGGTTGAAAATAAACCTTAAACACAAAATGCTACATGATACACTATGATTTCAAAACCTTTGTGACGTGTAGTCTCTGAAGCATCTGCTTCATGCCCAGCTTTGGAATGAGGACAAAACTGCCTAATACCAATTGTACGAAAACCCTTGAATTATCTAAACTTCTTTTTCTTATTAATTCCTTCATGCCATGTCCTACTGTTAAGTTTCCCCTTAAATTTCAGAACAGAACCTTGACATAGCTCACCAAAAGCAATTACCATTCCAACACTTTGGATAAAACAGCAGAAGCTACAAACTTTTGAGAAAAGCCTTAGTGACTCAAGATGACTCTTGAGCGCAGCACTTTGGATTTTGGCAGAAACAACAAAAGCCTCAGATGCAAAGACATGTTGCAGTGGCTTTTAAATGAGTAACAACAAGAGTTTCGGTACCTTGGCCAAATTTCGTTTGACACAATGATCTAAATTCTCCTGGCCTTATTTAACATTTTTTTGTATCTTAACATTTCTAAGAGGTACAGTACAAGTCTACACTTACAAAAAAAGAAATAGAATGTTCATAAGTTTCAATATATTCCCAGTGACCATGGCATATTAATGTTATATTTCGTTTATTCTGTCTTAAAAAAAAGTACCAGAAAAAGGTCTATTTTAGGATTTACAAAGGTTTAAAATAAACTTCATCCTAGCAGACAACAGTCCAGTAGTGATCTACAGTCACTCTTACATACAAATTACAAGAATGATTTTGATTTGTACATAAATACGAAATACATATCTGCAAAAGAATCAGTATTAACTGAAATTTCATGGATCAGGAAAATACTGTGTACATTGTCTCATATTTACTTGTAATTGTGTGAGGAACCTTATGAATACAAGAGTGCTTTGTAAAATACTACAAATCACAGTTATAAAACAAAATTAATCGCTTCTCTCTCAAGTTATAAAAACGTGGCAGGACTAAGGCAATAATACATAAAATTTACTTGAGTCTCTATAATCAAACAGGGACAAGAGGCTGAAACAACAATGGAAATAAACTTGACCATTATCCATTCCCTAAAGACGACAACACTGATTTTCTAATTAAAATGTCATGTCTTCTTACAACCTAAATACGTGAAAATACCAGTTACTTCACTGAATTCAGAGGTATCAAGAACCTAGAACTCAAATAAAATTACTTTCTATTTTTGCACAAATATGCATAGAATGGAAACAGAGCTGAGAGGATTGATGTAATCCACACTCCTGGAGTCTTAAACTAAACAAAAATGCATGAAAATAACACGCTTCAGAAGTAGACTCTTGAGCTGCAGCTGACTGCACAAATAGCAGGGTTAACAACACAGGGAAAATTGGCAAGAGTTTCTTTTTCTCTTGGCACCAATTACCTGGACTGTCCAGTTGAGATGCTCCATTCCTCTCGCTGCCCAGTACTGCGTGATTTTGATTTGTCTTTGCACACAGGATCAGCATGTTTTGAGGTACGTTTGGCGGGAGGAGAGATGTGGCTATCACTCAAACTAGCATCACTACCTTCATCCTTCTGAAAAGAAAAAAGCATCAGACCACATTTAATTGGCTCATTTGTAATAACCTTATCACAAATATCCTTCCAGAAAAAGAGGAAACTTCAGTTTAGTAAAAGGGAAGTCTCTGTCAAACTCTTAGTGATCAGCCTATGTGAAATATTAAAAACGTTTATTCTGAAAACATTACAAAAAACTATGAAAATATTTCATTTTAAATATTAAATTTCCATAATATTTCATCTGTATTTCTGAATAAGCATTCTATTTCTCTAACTGTACTTTTTATATCATACATAACACTGCCGCTCTCAACCTACTTGCAAAAGAGCTCATAGTGCAATAAAGAAGAAAAAAAGGTCTGAGGAAAATTAAGATACTGACAAACATGGCATTAATTTATTACGATGTTATCTCTGTCTTTAAAATGCTTAAACACATTATGCTCTTCCTTCTTGTAAGAGTTTTCGAAGACCTTCTTCTACCCATCAAACTGTGCACCACACACCCAGGAAAAACTGTAAGTGGACTTTATACTTTCATGGCAATTTTTGTCTAATATGTTTATGAACAGCATTATACACACCAACCACAAGAGTCTTAACACCTTTTAAGAAGCACCTAAATAGTTCCAGAGGAGGGTTTTTTTCTGTTGTTTTTACCTATCAGAGGTAACATAAGGGAGAAACTCAAAGATAATAGCAAGAGATTATGTCAGAGCTGTACATAAGAAATGGACAGACGGTAAACTTCAGAGGATCTGCTCCTGTTAAACTGAACTAACAAAACAAAACAAAAAAAACCCCAAAGGATTCTATAAAGCACAAATTTTATTTCATCAAAATAGTATAACGACACTCCAGCAGGACCCTGAAAGGCTCAAGAGGTGGGCCTTGGGCAAATCTCAGGAAGTTCAGCAAGGCCAAGTACAAGGTCTGCACGTCCTCTGGGGTTATCCCAAGCACATCTGCTGCTGGGTGGAGAAGGGACCTGGGGATGTTGGTGGACAAGAAGTTCAACATGACCCATCAATGTGTGTCTGCAGTCCAGAAAGCCAGTGGTGTCCTGGGCTGCACCAGAACCAGCATGGGCAGCAGGCTGAGGGAGGGGATTCTGTCTCTCTATCTCCACACTCCTGAGACCCCACCTGGAGTGCTGCATCCAGCTCTGGGGTACCCAACAAAGGAAGGACATGGACCTGTTGGAGCAAGTCCAGAGAAGGCCACAAAGACGGTCAGAGGGCTGGAGCACCTCTGCTCAGGAGCCAGGCTGGGATAGCTAGAGGTGTTCAGCCTGGAGAAGAGAATGCTCCAGGGAGACGTTATAGCACCTTCCAGTGCCCAAACAGCCAACAAAAAGATGGAGGGGAACTTTTTAACAAGAGCATGGAGTGACAGGACAAGGGAGAATGTCCTTAAACTGAAAGAGGATTAGATTAGATATTGGGAAGAAGTTCTTTATTGTCAGGGGGGTGAGGCACTGGCACAGGTTGCCCAGAAAAGCTGAGGATGCCCCATATCCCTGGAAGTGTGCTGGGTGAGGCTCTGAGCAACCTGATCTACTGGAACCCCATGGCAGGAGCGTTGGAACTAGATGATCTTTAAGATCCTTTCCAGCCCATTCTGTGATTAGAAAACTAAATATCCCTTCTTATAACGAGACAGAATATCCCACTGCAGTATTTAGAAAGTGGAAAGCCTAATGAAATCCAAATGTCTGGGTGCAGTTTGACAAGGCAGCTCAACATCACTGACCCAGGGACTGGCCCATGCATCCCTTGCCTGACTACACAGAACCACTCCAACCTCCTTGGATCTTCTTCTGATGTTTCTCTGACCCACTCATAAACCCAATCATCTCACTAAAGCTTCAAAAGCTCACTTTCTTTCTGTTAGATGAACTTCTAACAGCGATCTGAATCATTTCACTGAGAGATCAGACAAATACAAAAGATAATGCAAGGGAAAAACAACAAGGTGAAGACATGACCACTGCCTGCAGGAACAGAAAGCTGCAAGTGAAATAAGCTGTCTACATCACACCTTAACATCTTGTCCTCCAATACATATTTTTAACAATTATTAACTAATATTAAATACAACACAAATAACAAATTAATACAGTATTCATTATGATGAACTATTTATTCACTGCATCTTATATGTGACAAAACTTATAAATACTTTTTATAATACTAAAAAATATCAAATACTGAAAACTAGTATTAAATGTTAGCCAGTTCATGTTCACGTCATTTTAAAAGTAGTTTCAGCTTTGATAATTTTTAGCCTGGCAAGGTAAATCTAGGGAAAGAAAGAGGTCCATATAGACATTAATTCTTAAGACTCATTTAGCCCTAGTAAAAGAAAAAAAAAAAAAAGGCATCTTGCTTTTTTCTTTTTTTTTCCTCATTATTTCACTTCTCCAGGACATACATCAATGTAACTCAAAATAAAATCTATACTACAAGATCCCAATTACAACTTTAAATTAGTTAAAGAAGAATTTGGGATCTAAACCTAAGACTTGGTCAAAGTGGTAGCAGAGGTAACTACCACCATTCCTAAATACAAAACACCTGCACCTTGCACAGCACTGTAAAATCCATGAGCAGCCACACACCTGTTTTCCATAATGTTCTGCAACTGCAAAATACCAACTTATTACAAAATGTTAACAGCCTGCATATTCACTTCTGAACACTCTAAGCATTTGCATAGTACTTTTTGCTTTAATAAGTCCACGAGTAAACTTGTGGCTAATCGAAATGCAGCACTGTTGTATCAATTTTAGTAACGACTTTCTGAAACTACAAGAGCTCCCCTGTGCAGGACAGAAGAGTTTCAAGGTAAGCCACAGAACCAGTTTGAAACCAGCTAGGCGAGACAGAGAAAATGAAACTAAGGAAGATGAAGCGGCATGTAACAAAGCTTTACGAGGGGTAACATTAAAGCTGTTTAGCAAGCAGTGAAATTAGTAAAGCACAAGTTCCTATACTCCATTTCCAGCCCTTTCCATGCAAAGAGCCGAACTGCTCCAGGTCTCTTATGATCACCTTTCTCTGAGTTCCCTGCCTCTGGTCCCAAGTCTCAAGATCAGCCAGGATCCCTCATTTGTTTTGTCCATCCGTCAAAGGCAGTATCAGAGTGGAGCTACGAGCAAGTGGTCAGCTAGCAGCTTAAACAAAATACTGGCACTGGAGACAAAACCGGCTATTTCAGGTCTCCCTCTGCTACCAATATTCACAAAATTTATAAAGGCCAAATATCTTTGAGATCTCTAATGCTGGAGTCGAATGAACATTTACTGGCAAATAGCTTCAGAATCTGGAAGGGTGGGTCAGTGTGATCACAACAGTGCAACTGCCTAAAGAACCACACTAGCAATGAAGGAGTTTATTTAATCAGGCTATTCTTTGTTTGGGCTATTATTTTCAATTGTGCCTCACTTGTCTGCATATTAACTCCACACACAAACTCAGCAAGTAAAAGCCAAGTTAAAATTTAAGACAGTCAAGCCCAATACTAACCTACGTTAGAACACAGGCCTTATAAGATGTTTTAATATACAAAATGGTTTACCATGAAGTAGTGACAAAGCTACTAAAAAGTTGAAATCACTGAAATTTTAAATACATTACTAGGAATCCAAGCTCCACTTTGCAGTTAACAGACGATCTTAAAAATTCAAGCTCTAGGGAATCAAATCACACTAGACTGCCATCCGGAACTTTCACCTATCTACCATAAAATATGGAGATAGAGCTTTCGTTACACTCAAGAGATTACCCAAACTGGGATATGCTAGAACAAGAAATGAAATTAATTTCAATTTAGGAAGCCTTTACAGAGAGCAGTTTATCCACTGCTTCCTCCCATTTATAGCAAAAGAGGTCTAATGATTCCACAGCACTCAACTAGCTCCCTCAAGTAACTGGGTCTCAAACCATTTATACCTTTCATGATTAAAAATAGCACTTCAGTTTCAACCCAGAAACTTATTACTTAACAGTACATACCATGAAAACGTTCTGGGACTAGAAAGACATGACACAAGCATCAAACTTAAAAATTAAAAAAATTAATAATGCAATAGCAGAAGTAGGAACCAATGCACTGAACTCAAAGCTCCTAATGAAACCCCATCACTGAAGCAAACGCACTCACATGCTGAGAGAAGGCAGAGATTATGAATTAATAAAATCTTAATCATGTCAGAAATTGCCTGCAAGCATAACAAAGCCACAAAGAAAAAAGCAAGCACAGAAGAATCAAAAAATGACTTTACGTAATGTCAGGAAGTACAAAGAGATAAACAGATCAACAGAAATGACAGACCCACCAAACTCCAGCTGTAATCCAGAACAACCAGAACAGCTTCTTATGGAAAGCACTGCTTCTAATAAAGAGTAATGAAATAACTGGAATTAACAGGGCACTATCAATGGTCTAGACTGGCAAAACACAGTCTTTATTATCACCGGATTCAGGAGTAAAACTGAATGTGACAACTGAGTGAATACCACAAATCTACTGCTAAGATTCAACACACAGTCTTGCAGAGGCAGTGGGGCAAACTGTTAATACACCTTCACCAAAGGCACTTGAATGATGGTACCGATAAATCTAGAAACAAAATCTGAAATAAGTAAATTCAGTAAGAAAATATAGCTGTATATTTATCTCTATGTTTTCTCAACTTGTAAAGAAAAAGGAGAAAGATGGAAAAAATGTTTATTATAACAGACATATTATAATAGACATAATAGACATATGAACAAGCTACAAAACCACTGATACACAGTGTTACCTTCAATCTCTTCCATACCCATCCCTAAATTTAAAACTAATAATTTGATACTAACAGAGCTTAACTTATAACATGTAGAGAACAAGTCCCTAAGTTTTGGAAGAACACAAACTAGAAATCAATGAATAAAACTGACTTCTTCTTTCTCCATCTATCCTATTAGAAACACAGGGACCACCAACACAGTCTTTCAGCAGGACTGAAGGAC